GAAGAAACAGCAAAGATAAGGAATACGGGCCAGGGTCCCTCGGCCTCTGCCTCCACATTAGCTTAGCTAAAGGTCAGAAATTCACTGGAAAACTGGAGTTCCCCCCACCCACCTGCTCCTCACCAGAGATAAGTAAAGCAAAAAGAAGCACCAGGAGCCTGAGTAGTGCCATGGTAGCCTGAGGAGATGGCAGAGGGAGCCGTTTGTCAGGCTAACTCTGTTGCCAGGTTAGTTGTTTAAACATAGCTTAACATGGCTGTCAGGCGGGCTCTCCAGACTCCAGCCCCTCCCACCGCAGACATGGCTTTGGATCCTGGCAGGCTCCAGGAAGGGCTGGAAAATCCCATCTTCGGCTGTTTCCAGTGAATTCTTCCATTCATTACCCCTACCCTAAGGGGATACATGGGGAGGAGACTCAAGCTACAGATGATGAAACTGGTCACATTGTCCTTGGAGACAGAGCAAGTACAGTACCCAGGAAAATTAGCCTCAAGAGCAGCCACCACACAGAGTCTGCATTCTAGCTGCCTCTCCCCATCAGAATACGATCTACCTATAAAATCTAAGTCCAGCCACCAAGAAAATCTCTCAAAAGTTGTCTACATTCAACAAATGGAATCTTTTGTAGATGAAATAAAAGTAACCATCAGGATCTGGGTGCACACCTTTGGTCCCAGCACTGGGGAGGCAGAGGCAAGCAGATCTCTGGGACTTCTGTGAGTTTGACCAGCCTGGTCTACAGAGTGAGTTCCAGGACAGCCATGGCTACACAGGGAAACCCTGTCTTAAGGGGGGGAGGGTAATGTTATTTGTGGGAATATCAACTGGAGGGCACAAAGGATGGCTTCTGAGAGGGGCTGAAGATGTCCTGTGTATTGATCTGGGAGGTAACTGCACAAACCTATGCAGACTAAGATTTACTGAGCCAGCATCTTTGAGATTTCTCAGTTTATTATATATTTTTATTTTAAAAAATCTTTATGAGACAAGGTCTCTCTATGTAGTCCAGAGTGTCCTCAAATTCATTATCCTCCTGACTTCCTACCTCTCATGCCAAAATTACAAGTCTATACCATCACACATTTATCAAACTTTTCTTCACTTGCTCTCTCTAGCCCTTTATCTATTTTTTTCTAGCCACATGAGTTAGGCTCATTCCTCTCCCCACAAAACTGCCCTTGGCAGGGACCTTAATCATCAGTGGTTTTCTCTTGCCAACTTAATTTTTTAATATTTAGTTTTAATTTTTATGGTGAGTGTTTTGCCTGCATATATTACGTGTATCATATTCATGCCTTGGGTCAACAGAGGCCAGAAGATGATGTCAGAAAGCCTGGAATCAGAGTTACAGATGGTTTTGAGCACTATATGGTTTCTGAGACTCAAACCCAGGCCCTCTAAAAGACAGTAAATGTCCTTAAGGTCTGAGCTATCTCTCCAGTCTTGTTATTTTGTTGATGTTTATTATGTGTGTGTGTGTGTGTTGTATGTGAGTGTGTGTGTGGTGTGTATATGCAAACCTGGGCACATGCCATAGCATTGTGTGGAGGTCAGAGGACAATTTTTAGCAATTTTCAGGAGGCAGCTTTCTTACTGTGGGATCCAGGGATTGAATCCAGGGTCTTAGTTTTTTGTTTTTGTTTTTTTGTTTTGTTTTGTTTATCCAGCAAGTCATCTCACCAACCCTATTTTGAGACAGGGTTTCATTATGTTGCCCAGACTACTCCTACCTCTGCCTCCCAAGTAGATGAGACTCCAGGCACATGCCACTGTGCAGTCCCAAACCAGAAGTTTATTCTTCCGTGTGTTCGTGAAGGTGAGTGTTTGGATTGGAACACGTGGAGACCAGGGGTCAGTCTCTGGTATCATTGCTTAGCAGCTGCTCACCTTGCTCAGTTTTGTTGCTTGACATAGACTCTCTCCTTGGCCTGGAGACCATCAGCTAGACGAGACTGTCTGCTAAGAAACCTTAGCAATCAGCTTGTCTCACACTGCTCACACGGCCACACTTGGCTTCTTCACATGGGTTCTGAGTAGCCTCAGGGCTTCACCCTTGTAAGGCAAGCACTTCACTGACTGAGCTGTTTCCCAGCCCCAGACATCCATCCTTTCTTCGTCCTCCCTCCTCCAAAGTGCTTGATGCTGGCTCCCTTTGGCTCTAAAATACCCATGCTCTTCCAGATTCATCTCATTTCTCTACTCTTGTCCGGCTTCTTCGCAGCCTTCGCTTTCCTACCCACATCCAGAGAAACGTTTTAAGGCACGAAAACTGCTCACCACCTCTCCTCCTTTACACTCATCACCTCCTGAAGGCCATGACCTAAAATACTGCCTGGGCTTTTACCTCCCAGTCCAACCCCCCAGGGCTTAGCTCTTGTGACTCCACAACCAGAGTCCTAGCAGCTGAGCCTGTATCTCCTCAAGGCTCACATGTCTGCAGTGATCATTTCCTTTTCTCCTAGTCTTTCAGACTTTTTTTTTTTTTGAAGATTTATTTTATTTATTTTTCAAGACAAATCGTACCAGGTTTTCTCTTTTGGGCCACCGACCAGCTCCCAGATCATGACATGAAGACTTCTTATTAATTATGAATGTTTCGTCTTATCTTAGCTCTTATTTTAATGTTTCTCTTTATCTATGTTTTGCCTTGGGGCTTTTTGCCTTTGTTTCTTTCTGTATGTCTCCTCTGTGCAGATGTCTGGCAGTTGCCTGGCTTCTGGCCCCAGCTGTATCTCTCCCTCCCTCTTCCTTTTTTCAGCTTGGATTTCTCTTCTTAATCTCTCTGCCAGCCAGCCCCCCTACCCCCCTACCCCCTACCCCCCTACCCCCCTCCCTCATCTACCCCCTGCCCCCCATCCCCCCTACCCCCACCTACCCCTCTCCTGCCTAGCTATTGGCCATTCAGCTTTTTATTAGACTAATCAGGTGCCTTACGCAGGCAAGGTGAAACAAATATAACTCATCTTTACTTCTTTAACAAAGGCAGCTTAATAAGCAAATGGAACTCACCTTTACACAGTTAAAGTAATATTCTGCAGCATAAACCAATGTAACACATATTTACCTAATTAAAGTAATATTCCACAACAAATCTATTTTTTTTAAATGTATTTTTTTAAGGTGCATATGTGTGTTTCACCTGTATGTATGTGAAGCATGTGCACGCAATGCCTGCAGAATCCAGAAGAGGGCACCAGATGCCCTGGAACTAGAGTTATAGATAGTTGTGAGCTGCCACGTGGTTGCTGGGAACTGAACCAGGGTGCTGCGGAAGAGCAGCTAGTGCTCTTAACAACTGAGCTATCTCAAGCACCAGCTATCCTGAAATATTATGTAGACCAACCTACTGGATGTTTTTAATGGTGGTTTCATCCAGTCAGCTGTCCATGCTGGAAATTTGGAATCCATGCTTTAATGTTCTTTCCCTACCTGCATCTATACATCAGTCAGACTAGATTTTAGTTCCAAAACATACTTTAGAACAGTGGTTCTCAACATGTGGGCCATGACCCTGTTGGATGACTCATATCATATATTTATATTATGATTCATAACAGTAGCAAAGTAATAGTTAAGGCATGTGGTGGCACATAGAACTTGGGAGGCAGAGGCAGGCAAATTCCTGAGTTCAAGGCCAGCCTGGTCTACAGAATTGTAGGATAGCCAGGGGTACACAGAAAAACCCTGTCTCAAAAAACAAGCCTGTCAGTAGTGGCACACACCTTTAATTCCAGTGCTCGGGAGACAGGAGCAGGTGGATCTCTGTTAGTTCCAGGCCAATCTGGTCTACAGAGGGGAGTTCCAGGCCAGGTTCCAAAGTTACAGAGAAACTCTGTCTTGAAAGTTCAACCCCCTCCCAAAAAAAGAACCACTGCTCTAGAACGACACTTCTTTTTACTCTGTGGGCCCCGAACTAGGCTTCCATACACAGTCTTACCGGGGATAAAGAGTAGAGCCTCCACTCTGATTATAGAGTCTTTCTCCCAAAACAACTGAATCTGACAGGAACCAGCACTGGTTATCTCCTGATAAAGTTCCATGCTTCTTATGGCACCAAAAATAAACCCAAACCCAGAGACCCCCCCCAAGGATACTGAAAGCTTGGTTTTGATTCCTTCTTTCCTTAATTCACAGACTCCTGGCCCACCGTCACATACATCTGTGTCTTCCTTAGTTTGCTCTGCCTAGCTGCTGTCCCTCAATGTCCTCTACATTGGCAGACCCTTCGGTTTAAAATGTCCCTCCTCATTGGACTTAAATGAACTGAATCGGGTTGCACATCAATGTCAGCCACATCTTTGTGGGATTTTGTTCTGTTTTGTTTGTTGTTTAGGGTTTCTCTGTGTTACAGTCCTGACTGATCTGGAACTCACTTTGTAGGCCAGGCTGGCCTCGAACTCACAGAGATCCACTTTGCCTCTGCTTTCGGAGTGCTGGGATTAAAGGCATGCGCCACCACAGACCCACTCAGCAAACATCTTTTAGAGTCCTATCCCTCAACTGAACTTATTTCCCTCATTCTCCTGTATTTTCCTGCCTGCAGGTAAGGCTGTATCAGAATCTACCTTTGCTTATGGAAATGGCCTTTGGGGAAAGGCTCTGAATATTCTGGCCAAAGAGCAGTTTTTCTTTTCCATTCCTGCACCCAACCTGTTGGCTGATGGTGATGGTGAGTGCGGATGTAGACTGTAGTCCAGCCCCACTAGAGGGCGGTCCAGCCTACTTCAGCTCAGACCAGGCTAGAGGGATGCCGGAGGGGATTTAGCTATGGCCCTTCCCTTACTGGCTGCTTTAAGTGTCTAAGCAGAGTAGTCACCAGGCGGAATCTGTCTTACCATTTTCAGGGATTGTCAGGGCCAGCCTTGACAGACCCCGAGTGGCCACAATATCGTCAGGTCAGACGATCCGGAGCAGTGCCCACACGTGGGCATCGCATCCGGGCCCCAGTACTACACACCGCTATCTCACCAGGGGACAAATTGAAAAGCGGAGACCAATGGACGAACGCGCAGGGGTGGGAGGAGGTCATATGTCAGCTAAACCTTTTGAGTCATCAGGGGCTCCTGAGACGCAATCGTGTCTCCCGAGGTGCTACAGCCCCCACTCCTCAGCAATACGGGCCTGGAGGGCGGGGCTGGAAGGGGTAGGACATCTTCAGCCCGCCCCGCCTCCATTGGCTAGGGAGCCGGGGGCGGGGCGGGGCGCGGCTGCCAGATGTTGGGGCGGCAGCTACCAAGAGCGAGGAGCCTGGGAGTAAGGCAAGGGTGAGGACGCCGCTGGCGGGCCGATCCGGCCCACTCTGCGCTGCTCTCGCGGGTGATCGAGAAGAAGCTGAAGCACCTGGAGAGACTACAGCACTAGCACCAACATGCACAGCGCTCGACTTGACAGCTTCCTGAGCCAGCTCCGCTGGGAACTGGTGAGGCTTTGGAGTGGGTGTGGTTGTGAGGATGTGTGTTGCGTGCGTGGCTGCCGCCTGGCTGAAACAACAAACGGGTACGGAGTGGGCTCCGGGTGCCCATCCGAGTCAGGATGGGGGCAGGGCAGCGCGGTGCAGATGGCCCAGATGGCCCGCTTCGGGTTTCTGACGGTTGGGAGCTGTTCTGGGCATCAGGTAACAGGCGCCCAGCTGGTCCTGCCGGCGGCGGCGGGGGTGGATAGTCGGGAGAGAGGTTTCTTTTGGAGACTGACAGGGAGTACCAAGGGCCTAAAGAAGTGCTGTGCTGCTGTGGACATCCCCTACCACAGGCTGGCCTACACCTCCTTCCTCTACCCTGCCTGCCCGCCCCGGTGGCGCGTGCTGACTTGCCCAGCCCTGCGTGCTGCAGCCTGCAGGACTGCCACCAGCTCTGCGGATGGGAGCCACATGAGCCCCGAGTGCCAGTGCCCCCATGTGGGCCCTGTGCTTACAGTTCTGCCTTGCTGCCCAGAGGCTTCCAAGTCCTTTTGAACACTCTGTTCAGGCCTGGCCTGGTCAGACACTAAGGGGTGATAAGCAACCCCTCGCCTACTTCTGCTCTCTCTTTCCCTTCAGTTGTGCGGTCGGGACACAGGCTCGCCTCCAATGTCTGGCCCACTGCAACCCAAATCCAAAAGTGATCCAAGTGTACAGCCCAACCGCCAGTTCAGGGCCTCAGATGCTCTGGATGAGGATTCTGTCTGCTGTGTGGAAGAGGAGGAAGAGGAATCCTTGGTAGCTGAAGACAAGGGTGTATCCTTGCGATGCCCTAGGGAACATGCCCTAGACTGGGACTCTGGTTTTTCAGAAGTGTCAGGCAGTACATGGCGAGAGGAAGAGCTGTCTGTACCCCGGCGCCAAGAACCCTCAGGACGGCCACCTCATAGCCAGCGTTTTTCAGTCAGTGACCTCCCCCTGCGTAGCAGGGCAACTGTAACCGGCATACCACCTGCCCACCGTCCTCGGCCCAAGTCCACTCCGGATGCTTGCCTGGAACATTGGCAGGGGCTGGAAGCAGAGGACTGGACAGCAGCACTGTTGAACAGGGGCCGCAGTCGGCAGCCCCTGGTGCTAGGGGATAACTGTTTTGCTGATTTGGTTCACAACTGGATGGAGCTGCCTGAGGCAGCCAGTGAGGGGAGCGATGGTGGCATACCCCGAGCCCGTGCTCGACCCCCTCAGTTCCTGCTTGGCCTCTCTGAACAGCTACGGCGTCGGCTGGCCAGAGCTCGCCGGACAGCTATGGCAGGAAAGCGGCTATCATGCCCACCTCGTTCAGAACCTGACCTGCCTTCGGACATCTCACGATTTACAGCCCTCATGAACTGTCGCAGCCGCCAACCCATCATCTACAGTGATGTCAGTCACCTCTGACCCTGCCCTCCATCCAGGGACAATAAAGGCCTTTTTCTAGACTGTTGGTTCCATACTCCTGAGGCTTCAGGAAGTACCCCCAGCCCTATGGAACACAACCAATACAGGTCAATCTAGAAACTTCCCTCTCCTTTTCAGGGTCCTAGCCTTGCCCATGTCATACACACGTGCCTGACCATCCATGTTCTATCAGCCATCTTCTCCACTTTCTTCAACAAGTTTTTATTGTTGAAGTATCTGCTGTAGGCTCAAGATGCAGGGATTTTATGTCGAGTTCCGTATGACCGAGTGGTGGCCACCTTGTCACAGTTCGTAATGCAGAGGAGGGAAGGCAGTTTCGTCCCCTTCACCCTCGCAGCTCAGCTCCAACACCAGTACCCGCAGCCCAGGCTCAGGCTCTTGGCCAGTCACTTGCTGAACCAGTTCTGTCACCCTAGTGTGGGAGGGGGTTCGGGGGAGATTTGGTAGGTGAGCTGAGGGAGACAGACACAACCTAGTGTGGACTAGAGGGTGCTGGCGGCCCTCAGGAGCCCCCGAGTGGCTCAAGGCAGGAAACATCTGAAACTATTTTAGGAGCAGCTGGTGGGGGCAGGCAGGAGGAAGGCAGGAAGTTGTGGGTCCCTTGGGAGTAGGCTGGGGGGGTGAGGGGGGCTGGGCAGTATATGGGGAGCCAGTGGTGCTGGCCAAGCAGACAGCTACTGAAGTCCCCTTCCTCAGGCTCTTAGCCCCACCCCCAAGCCCATTTGTTGGCTCCATTTGGTGGAAGAATGCTTCAAGAAGGTGTGAGGGGCCTAGAATGGGGTTGAGGAAAAGCGGCTATCACCCATCCTCAACATCCAGGGACATGGTAGGGGCTGGCTATGTCCAGTACTGGCTCACCTGAGGCACAGGCGCTGAGCCTGCTTCTCGAGTGGCCATTGTGCAGAATAGAGCACAGCCTGGCCGTGCAGCAGCATCTTCACCCGCAGTCCGTGCTCTACCTACAGAGACATAGGTCAGGTACTGGCTGGGCCAGGCTGGGCTGGGCCTGGGGCAGAGAGGCCTGGGGCACACCTGGAGATGGGCCAGCAGTGACTCCAGTGTCCTCTCAGGCCGCCCAGCAGGCACCTTCAGGCGGTCCCAACAGGTCCACTTCAGGTGATGGAACTATGGGGTGGAAGTGAGCAGGAATTAGAGATTTCTCACACAAATCTGCAACCCCTGGCCCAGTTACTAGCAGCTTTTCCTAGAGGAGGAGTCACTCTAGAGGCAGGAAGCCGGAGCCAAGAGGTGGGGGGTGGAAGGTGGGATCTGGGCCCAGAGTCTCAGCCCCCTCCCCACCCAGGCTGGGGCCAGCACAGGAAATGGAGCTAAGGGGCCCTGTGCAGGGAAACAGACATCCATCACACAGGCCAGCTGAAGGCGGGGAGGGCAGGGGGGGTGGGGGGGGGACGGGACGGGACTGCTTCCTGAGGAAGCTGGAGCTGGGCTGCTGCAGTCTCCGATAAAGCGGCTTGTTCCTCAAAGGGGAGACTGGGAGCTGGAGGATACAGCCCGTGCTACTCCCCAGCCCTTACATACGGGGCTTCGGACTGCTCACGGGCATGCAAAAACCAAAGACACAGTGACAATGTAATCCTGCTGACCCAGAGATATCTTTTCCCCAGTCGAAGAGTCCTGGTATCCTCAGCTGAGGACAGATGTAGCAGACATACAGAGGCCAGGACAAAGGGCCCCTTCCAACCCTCAGAAAACATACTGGGGTCGAGCTGAGACTAGGCTAGAGGCAAGATGGGGACTCCTACCCACCCCCATCCCAGAGACAAAGGCAGTCTCTGTGCTGGTTAACAGTGGGGACACCTCACAAAAGCACTCTGTGTGCTTGTCCAGAGGGACCCTAGGCTAGCCAGTGACCTCTGTCCTTTCCCCTGGTGAGGGCTTCCCTCTACCCCGTTTCCTGTTCCTCAGGGAAGTGCCAGCTGTGGCAGCGCCTGGGAGCACAATTGAAAGCATTGCCGACCTGGCCTTGGTAGGAACACCCACACAAACAAAGGCGGCAGCACCCTCTTATGTGCCCACGTGCACACCCATGAGTGTGCACATCGAGGAAGAGCTTTGCTTTCTCATGTGGCACACAGATGTCTAAACTCGATCCCTCCATGTTCACACACAAGGGTTGCCCACACCTTGTTGTGCTCAAAGCTGTACCGTAAACACACACTCCTATGGGGCCGAGACCCACACTCACGGTAGCAAGCCCGGTGCCCTTTAACTTGGCTTGAGGTGAACAGAAAAGGGCTCTGGAGAGGGAAGCTAGACTCCTCTCTGGGGCTGAGTATATGGTCACCCCTCCCCACTCCCTCCCTCCAGGGTATTATTGAGGAGGAGGGGGCTGTGGGGGATGTCTGGCTCTACTAATGAGTTAAAGCTGCAGCTCCCCCAGACCCTGGACTGCAGGGGGGTTGGGGGTCTGGCTGATGGCTGTTTCCTGTTTTTGACAGGTCCCAGCCTGGCTTCATAGCAGGAAGGGAAGGAACTGGGGGGAGTCTGGAGGATTACCCCATAGTCTGGGGCCTGGAGAGAAGCCACAGCCGGAGAGAGGACTGTTTGCTTGGGTGGGTAAAGGGAAAACTCAGGTCTAACGGGAACAAGGGTAGGGGATCAAAGGCTCACCAACTGGAGGGCTGGGGCAGAAGGCACTGATCGTGTGAAGTAGTTTTCAGCCAGGTGCAGATAGCTTTGACGGAAGGCACCAAGGGGCCGTGGCCCACTTACTACCTTATACAGCTCCAGGCCCAATAACCCTGCCACAACTGATGTACTGGTAGCAATGGCTGGGATGATCCGACCCATGATTTGCTTGATCTGTCAAGGACAGGGCATTTGGTCCGGGCTCAAGGTTTAGGACTAAGATTTGGCTCTCACTTTCAGGCCTGAGCCCCAAGGGGGTGGAGTTACCTGAGCATGGTTGACTGGCAGGATCCCATAGTTCTGAGCTCTCAGGTTAGTCGCTGCTACCACAAAGTCCATCTGGAAGTTGCTGTCATCATCCTGCCAGGCCCAAGTCACAGCAGTGTTAGCAGTGCAGTGACCCCCTCCTCACGGCCAGCTGGGCGCCACTGGCTGGTCTCTGTACAGGTTTGTGGGTGGGGATCTACCGTCTCCCTCCTTTGCCACACAGCGCAAGGGAAATGCCAGGGGAACAAGCTGCTTCCATGGCCTTGAAGGTAGGAAACGCGGGTTCTTGGACTACTCCAATTCCTTACCTTCCCCCAGCCCAGGTCATTGTTCCCACTTGGGGTCCCACCTTCTCAAACAACACAGGCTTCAGCGGAGGGCCCTTGCTCCAGTTTTCCAGAAGTTCCTGCAGTTCCTTCAGCTGCTCCGGGCCTGTCAGGGGGCAGGGTACGGGAGCGGTCCTTAGCTCATTTCCTGTACCCTAGAGCCGCGGTGTCTGTCTAACCTGCCACTTGCCACCACTTGATCAAATCAAGGATTTGTAAAGGACGCCGTTGAATTCCCAGCACTTATGTGGCAGCTCACAACTGTCTCTAACTCCAGTTCCTGGGCATCAGTGCCCTTTTCTGGCTTCTGTGGGCACCAGGCACACATGTGGTGCATAGATATACATGTATATAAGATACCCATACATATAAAGTAAAAATTAAATGAACAACAAACCCAACGAAGGCCAGAGAGAGGAAGCAAAGTTAGCTATAGGGCTTTCGAACCCCATCTGCCTTTTGAGTACAGGCTGAAGACAGGGACAAGCCTAGAATGACTGTGCAAGACTCTTACCAAGCTCAGCAGCAGTAAAAGCACCAGCAGAGATGAGGCTCCTGTGCACGGAATCAGGCTCTTCCAGCAGTCTCAGCAGTTCCCTGAGTGCAGCCAGGTCTCGTGAGCCAGGCAGCCCATGCATTTGTGCATACAGGTTGGCAGCTGCCAGCACGTAGAGGAAATGCATGTCCTGAAGCCAGGCAGAGAGCAGGAAGATTCATGGGTACATGGGATGGGGTTCATTGCCCTTTGGTGAGAATGCTTGAGTGCCTGACTGTCAAGTACAGACACCCACATTTGCACAAGCGTGGCTCTCTTAGCAGACCACAAAGGCAGTGACCGCTACTCTGGAAGGACTCATGTCTAAGGACCCTACTCACTTGGTTGGGGTCAAACTGTAAGGGCTGTGGACACCTTTTGGATCCTGACCAGAACAGAGTTCCATCCTCAAGTACCTAAGGAAATAGAGGCTGCTGGGCTCAGTCTGCTCTCCTGGAGCCATCATCTGCCCCACGACTGACCACCTACTTTATTGGCTGGGAAGTGTCTCAGCAGCTCGACAATGCCATCGTGAAAGCACAGTTGCCAGTGACCTAGAGCCCACACCACACAGTCTTGCCAGGTCCGTGGGCGCATTTTTAGGACACCCATCACTGGCTGCAGTAAGATTGTTGTTTGCATCCTATCCATGCCTGACGGGGAAGTGGATGTCCTGCAGAAAGAGGAGGAAGTTTGAGGCTGAACTCTGTGCCTGGAATCCTGGACTCCTCCCTGCTTCTGTTTTTGGCCTTACTCTTGGTAGCAATTGATGGTCTCGGCAGATCGGTTAAAGAGTCCCTCAAATTCATCTCGGGCCCACTGCAGGGGCGGGGAGGTGGTGAGGTATTTATTAGATGAAGAAGAGATGTGACATCTGGGGATTGAGATGGGTAGGGCGGGGTATACTTACCTGAAGGATGTGCTCGACTGTGCTGGGGAAGTACCGCAGAGTGCACAGAGGGTGGGAGGCATCCTCGGAGTCTGCAGCTGAGGTGGGGCCTTTGTAGACTTCCGTAACAAATGGCACACACACTGCAGCACTGCCCCGGGTCCCCTGCGTGCCTGCCTCCAGCAGTGGTTTCAGATAGTGGGTGCATCGAGCAGCAACATAGTGCCCTGGCCAAAGGGCATAGGGTGTGGAGTGAGGCTGCCAGAGTCTTGGGCAAGGGGCTCGGCTCTAAGTCAGGCACTCACGGGCCTCGAAGCTGTCCAAAGCAGCAGCAACACCATCCACCCTGGAGAAGAAGTCGTCACCAAAGATGTGCTCTGTGGTGGGATCCACTGGGTAGGTATAAGAGGTCACTTGTAGGTCTGGGTTTAGACGCTGAGCTGCTGTTGCGGCCACCTCTGCCTTGGGCTTCTGGGAAGAGAGGAAATGGGCACATTATGAGAAAGTGACCGGAGACACAAAGATGTAAGAGGGACCAGTACTCACCCCAATGTCCTGGGGCCTGAAGAGGAACTGCCTGCTGAGGTTGGAGCGTTCTATGTGGTCCATGTCAGCAACAGTCACGCCTCCATTAGCCTTGACTCCCAGGCCCACCAGTGCAAAACTTTTAAGCATTTCACAGCCAATGGCACCAGCACCCACCTGGCAGGAACAATCTTATCCAGGGCACTTGGCCTGGATTTCCCCAAGACATCCCCACCATCACCCCACAGCTCACCAAGAGATACTGTTGGTTGCTCAGTTTCTCCTGAAAACCAGTCCCAAACACAGCAATTTGCCCATCGTATCGGCAGTCTCTCTAGGGAACACAGATGATGGTCAGTGACGGCTGATGCCTGTGCTGTGTGTCATTCACTGAGTTGTTTCATCAGGACCTCAGGAGTGTTTCTCAGGTTTCTCCTCTAACCCTGATTTTGAACAAGGCTTTCACCACCAGTTCTCACCGGATGACAGTCCTCAGGATTGGGAAGGAGTTCTTCATCTTCCGGAAGACATTCAAGGGCATCAAAGTACAGCCACTGGTCCAGGGGCATGAACTTGGCCGAGATTGCCTGGGGATTGGCATTTCACTATGGGGGGGGGGTTTCTGCCAATGCCTAATTCCTCATCCCCTTAGATCCCATCTGAGGGCGGCGCCTGGTTGATAAAATGCTCAAGGCTGCTGCTCGGTGCTGTCTGGCACATACATCGACATGCCCACTTTCCCAGTCCCTTCCTTTCCCCATCTGTTTTCTACCTTCAGGACTTCCTGGGCAGCCACTCCTCCCAGAATGGCTGCCATGGGGCTTAAGCTACCAGCACTACTCAGGGCAATTTTCCGAAGTAAAGCCTCATCCAGCGATTCTTTTGTCCCTTTTAGTGGCTCCAGGTCCTGGGCCAGGCGCACCACAGTCTCTGCATCAACCTGTGAGATGACACCGAGGCATAGCGTATGTGGGCCTGGTAGCCCTAGTCTGAATTCTAACCTACCCCTCAAAACCCATCTACTCTATTCCACTGAAGCAGCAGACTCTTAAGTAGGAAAACCTGGCATCGTTGCTAGGCTGGGAAGCACTACCAAAGCATCAGCCAGAGACCCCGAAGGCATCACCAACCCGAGTAAAGCTTCTAACCTGCCTCTCGTGGCTTAAGGATGGAGCAAGCAGAGTCTGCAGGTTGTAGGCCTAGTCAGTACACCTATGAACACAATCTCTAGTGTACAATAGTGGTATTCATGTCCTGTTGTTGAGTGTAGAGTCTGCCTCTAGGGTTCAAACTTGGGTCTGTAAATGGCCATTGAGGTGAAGTTTGAAAGGTGAGAGGTCCAGCAAGACAGAGGCTGTGCATTGTACAATGTGGGGCCACTCACAGGGTCCCAGGGCCTGGGTAGCTGTCCATGAAGTTGCTGGAACTTGTGCAGAGCCTGGAAGGCCTGATGTAGGCAGTGAGCACGTTGTACTTCCTGAGTACTCTGGGCCACCACAAGGGGCTGAAGCAGAGCTATGTCCAGGGCCTCCTGTCGGAGTCAGAGTTGTTTGGCTCAGGGTGAGGTCTGGGACCCTGTGCACTGATGCAACGTGGCGCCCCCACCTCAGAGGCTCTTGCACTCACATGCCTCACAGCCTTGGGTCTCTTGACTTCAGTCACAACCCCACCACGCAAGTAACGGGAGAAGGTTGTCGTGTCTCCGATCTCCAAAGACCCATCTTCTGGAAGAGATCCAGCCTAGTCAGTTACGACCCCTAAAAATAAGTAGTTTCTGCGTAGTGCTGAGCCAGGGGTTGGAGTGGGGTTGGCTTACTCTGCACATGGACAGGCTGGGGAGAACAACTGTTGAGTTCAACCATGCCTTCAATGCCTGAGAAAATCACCAGGTCTCCATCACAGAAGGAGTGTCTTTTGGTGTCTCCTCCCAGAGTGACAATGCCAGGCAATCCCTGGGTGAGAGATGGTTTCACTTCCAAGTACCTATACCTGCTTTCCGCAGGCCTGGCACCTGGAATATCAGATAGATCTCTACATCTCGGAACCCACCTGGGAGATGCTCTGGATGGCAGCTGTCATGGGTTCCACCTCTGTAGGGTCCTCAACAGTGAAGTCCTCACCAAAGTCACAGAACACCCGCCTAGCACGGTGGGCAAAAGTTACTGGGGAAGCTTACCAGTTGTGAGTAGTGGTAGGGGACACTAGGACAGACCCAAGGGAAAGGAACTCTGGAAAAAGATTTGGGTGCATAAGTTGTACTAGAACAGGTCTGGACACTGAGGTGGAGAAACAAGGGTGGGTGGGATTGTGGTCCAGAATTACGAGGATCCTTTGCTAGGCTTGCGGCAGGGCAGAGGGTGATAAGAACAAGTGTTAGTGTTCAGGCATCTGCACTGGCCTGTCCTTGGGGTTCTGACAGGAATCGCCCTCAGCTGCAGCCACTAAGAGCACCACCTGTGCACATTCACTATGTTCCCTTTTTGAAAAGGGCCCCGCCTGCCTCCCATCTTCCTCTTTTTCTTCCTCTGTCTGTTCCCCCTCCCCCTTTCCTTTCTCCTCTCTCCTGCTGCTCCTGTCTCGGGAGGCCAGTCTCCCCGCTTCCTGTTCCCCCTTTTATGACCTCTTTCCTTAATAATGATAATAATTTAAAAAACTCTCTGCCAGAACCCTGTCGAATGGCATCCCATGGCGTCTTTCTCTCGCACACTGCTTTACTTCAATTACAACAGCAAGCTTAGAACTGGGAAAAACTGGACCTGGAGAGATGGCTCAGCAGTTAAGAGCACTGGCTACAGAGTTCAAATCCCAGCACCTACATGGTGACTCACAATCATCTGTAATGAGATCTGGCGCCCTCTTTTGGCCTGCAGGTGTACATGCAGACAGAACACTGTATACAAAATAAATAAATCAATCCTAAAAAACAACTGGGAAAAGCATTGGGGCCAGTCGCTGACAGAGGTGTAGTGGGGTATACAGTTAGTCTCCTCACCCCACAAGGCCCCGGGTTTCAGCCACCAGAAAGGAGATTCCATGCTTGTGGCAGAAGGTTCCCACCTTCAGCTGCTCCTCCAGCTTGGAGTCAGTCAGCACCACCACCTACATGGACACCAGAACACCAGAATCACTTGCCACCTTTGCCTTTAAGGGCAGGAGGGAGGTTCTAGACTTGGGTAGTACCTGGAAAGCCTGCAGCAGGTCCTCAGTGATGTCACCTGTATGGACGGAGATCTGGACAGCTTCATTGAGCTGAGCCAATGGTGCTTGAGAGGCCTCAGCTCTGCTCCTTCCCAAGCTCTCCTCTGAGAGGAAAAACTAAGGACAGAATAGTAGTTTGATCAAAAAGAGACTCCCCTTTGGCCCTGCTCTGGGAGGGGGCATAGAGACCACAAGAACTCTTACCTGAGCAGCCAGGTCAGCCCAGCAAGCCGGATGGGGATCATGCAGGGTGAGGCTGCCCACACCCGTAAGGACCAGGTTCTTGGCCACCTCGGCTCCTAAGCCCCGCAGACCAGATATCAAGACACTGGCTCCCTGGATCCTCTGCATGGCAGGCAGACCCAGCACATACCTGTGGTCAAGAAGTAGGAGGGCAGCTGGAGACCAAAGGTCTGGAAGCCACCCAACTTTGTATTCCACCTTGAGACTCACAGCTGCCTCGAGTATAACTCCCCATCCATCCTCAGTCCTGGGGCTGGATACGGAGGCAGAAATGCTCGCAGCTATGGGGGGGGGGACGGCGGGGGGAGCGGGGGCAAAGGGGAGGGGGCGGGGACAGGGGCGAAGGGGCCAAGGGGCGGGGGCACAACAGAGCTCGTAACTGATGCAAACAGGAACCGAAGTGCCAGTTGCTGCTTGTTAAATTCCCTCCCTCCCTGGCTCCTCTGTAAGTTCAGGAAAAGAAAAGTGAAACTAGACTCTGAGTTGGCTTTTAGTCCTGACAAACGGGGACAGATGCCAGCCCTCTATAGGCCAGCTGGGGTTTATCGCCTAGAAAAGTTCCAGTATTACAAAAGGCCAGTGAATCTCTGAGTCAGATCGGAGAGTGGGGAGCACAGGGCAGCTACGAAATGAAGATATCCGTGTATATAGTTTTTCAAACTTTTGTTTTGAAATAATTGCAGGCTCACAATAAATTGGAAAAAGAACACAGGGAGTTGCTGTGTACTGTTTGTGTTTTTCTACCAGCATGTATTAATTACAGATAACAATGTGCTTCCTTATGGCATTTTCACATATGTGTGTAATGTATTTTGATCATATTCATCCTATTAGCCTCCTCCAGCTCCACCCGCTGCCTGAGCCTTGGATGGGGCTGATATGGATGTCTCTGTTCAGGCTGAATGTTCCACAGTTTGACCAGTTAGGAGTCTCTGCAGTTGCCACTGCCCACATACAAAAGCTTCTCTGAGGCTGGAAAGATGGCACAGCTGTGAAGAGCAGTGGCTGCTCTTCCAGAGGTCCTGAGTTCAATTCCCAGTACCCACATGGTGGCTCACAGTCATCTATAATGAGATCTGATGCAGAGAAAGCGCGAGTGCACACACACACACACACACACACACACACACACACAATATAGTAAATCTAAAAAAAAAAAAAAAGCTTCTCTGACAAAAGCTGACAGTAGCCCTGATCTATGGTCATTAGCATATTGGAAGGCAATGAGATGGATGCAGTATACATATTTTACAAAATAACATCTGTGGCTCACCCATGAGAGCCTATGACATACCTGACCGCTGGCTTTTGACCAGGTTTATAGGGTCAGGTATGAATTCCCTTCTGTGGCGTGGTTAGCTATCACCACAACACACTTGCTATTATTTTATTGTGATGTTGGGGGTTGACTTTCTTTTTTATTTTTTCAGAACATAGTCTCACTGTGTAGCTCTGGCTCTGGCCTGGAACCTGCTATGTAGACCAGGTTGAAATCACAGAGATCTGTATCTGTTTCCTGAGTGCTGGGGATGAAAGGTGTGAGCCACTACTCCCAGCCTTGATTTTTTTTTTTTTTTTTTTTTTTTTTTTAATGATTACAGAAAGCAAGTGGAGGTCAGAGGACAACTTGTGATGTCAGTTTGCTCCTTCTGCCATTTGGGTACTTAGGGCTGGACTCAGGTCATCAGACTTGGCAACAAGCAGCTCACTGAGCCAACTCACTGGCCCTATTGTCTTTATTTTTGTATGTGTATGATTGCTTTGCTTGCATGTATGTGTACCACATGTATTCTTCGTGCCTGTGGAAACCATAAAAGGGTGTTCGATCCCCTGGAACTGGAGATGCAGATAGCTATGAGCTGCCATGTGGCTCCTGGGAATTGAACCCGGGTCCTCTGGAAGAGCAGCAAGCGCTCTTAAGCACTGAGCCATCTCTCTATCTCTCTGTGTCTCTCTCTTAAGCACTGAGCCATCTCTCTCTCTCTCTCTCGGATAGGGTTTCGTATAGTCCAGGCTGTTATAGTCAAGAATGACCTTGTGTTTCTAATCCTGCTTTTACCTATCATAAGGGCTACAATAACAGGCATGTACCACCACACTCAGATTATATAATGCTGGGCAAGGCAACCATCCTACCAACTGAGCTACACACCTGGAGTCTCATGTAATCCAGGCTGACCTGGAACTCATTATTTAATTGACAAGAACTTCTATCTCTAAAGTTATGTGAGCACAAGTGTGCATCACTGTACATGGCTTGATACTGGAGCTTGAACCCAGGGCTTGCCATCTGTTTTATACTGTGCTATGTCCATGACCCCAACCAGTTTTTTGTTTGTTTGTTTTTTGAGACAGGGTTTCTCTGTGTAATCCTGGCTGTCCTAGAAATCACTATGTAGACCAGACTGGCTTTGAACTCAGAGAGGCGCCTGCCTCTGTCTTCCAAGTACTGGGATTAAAGGCGTGTGCTGACAAGGCTATTACCTGGCTTTGTAAAGCAGAAACTGTCTGCAGTAACTCCCGTTCCCATTCCCTGTAAGTTTACCTATTCTAGACACTTTCTGTAAGTGGAACCAGAGTAGCTGTCTACCTCACTTACTCATTTACATATCTTGAGTTTTTATCCTATAGCCTGACTTACTAGATTCCCACCACTGGGTGATTGGTGCTGTTGCCCCCACTGTACAGACAACACGGAGAGGATAGCCTAGGACCACTCAGCATATGCCAGCAGCCAGCTTCTCCATTTTCCACCAGATGGTGCAATTCTCCTCACTAACCCTCTTTAGTTCAGGTCATTCCCAAACGGGCTCAACATTTGTAACTGCGTCACTTTTCTGCCACTGTGATAAAACCAACAAAAGCAACTGAGGGAGAAAGTTTTATTTCGGCTCAGTTTCAGGTCACAGGGCATCACTGCAGGGCAGTCAAGGCCCAGCAGCTGGCCACACTCAGTGGAGCGCGGAGACGGCACAGCCATCTTGTGCTCAGCTCATTTTCTCTGCATTTATTATCTATCCATTTATTTGGTTTTCGAGACAGGGTTTCTCTGTGTGGCCCGGGCTGTCCTGGCATTCACTCTGTAGGTCAGGCTGGCCTCTGACTCACAGAGATCTGCTTGCCTCTGCCTCCCTAGTGCTAGGATTAAAGGTGCACACCACCACCACCCTCTGTAACAGTCCAGGATCCTCTGCCATGGGAACAGTACCAACATCCAGGAGGCTGGTCTTCCCACCTCAGTTAACATGAGCAAGATAATCCTTCACAGACACGCCCATGGGCCGACCTCATCTAGACCTCACTGAGAGGCCCTCACCAAGTGATTCCAGATTGTGTCCAGTTGACAAACAAAGCTAAGCATCACATAACCAAAGCTATCATCCCCATCAGCAGTAGCTTCAGGCTCCTCTAGGTTTCCTTTTGAGTGGCTGGATGCCTTCAGCAGGAAGCAGGAGAGTACTAGGGGAACAGGAGAACTCCCCTCTCACAACGGGAGAAAGTTTAGGAAAGGGGAATTCTCTGGGGAAAGTGCCCTGAAGCCAAGACCTAAAAGCTAACAGCATGGTCGCTGGTTGTGTTGTGCTTGCTGGGTTCCCTGAGTGGATGGGGACTCACTCGGTTCGCCGCTCACTTGGCTGATTGCTTAGAATGCAGGGACACCAGTCTTGCTGGGGTCTTCCTGTGCTCTGCGAGAAAGCCATGCCTGGAGGTGGCACTCCTGCTTTAGAAACCCATTCAGTTTTCTAAAGCCTTGGTACAAATTTACACGTCCAGAGCCAGGAAGATGCCTTTTTATTTTCCACGGAAATCTTCCCCCATCATTTCCCTAGCAACCACCATTTCAAACTGTGAGCTGGAGGCAGGCACACGTGCAGGCTAGCCTGCTTAGGACCCTCCAGCACTTTTGTCCTTTTAGAGTCAAATGTGACCCTGGTATATAAAATCAGAAGGAGCCCAGCCATATCTGGTGGCAGCTCTATGCAATGAGAAGCAGGCCCTGCTGACTGGAGCTGTAAGCTGGTCCTGTCAGTTCCCAGAGGTGAATCCAGTGCGGTGCAGGGCAAAGAAAACACAGGAACTGCAGCTTCTGCTCTCACTCTTGCACAGTCCAGGAGGAGGAGCCATCTGCTAAGACACTCCGGGAAGTGTTGGCCACGGTCTTGGCCTACTAATTGGACACATGACTCTGCCATTGCTCACTGCAATAGGAAGGTATCCAGCTTGGGCTGGGAGGAAGAATTCACAGTCTTTATTCTCACTTTCTGCTTACTCTTGGTCTTAGGCTTAACAGGCATTGGTCGGATAATGGCTGTGTCTGTCTGGAAGCAGGGTCAAGGAAAAAGCTTGGTGAGAGGACTGGCGTGCAGGGCAGGGAACCTCAGAGCCTGGGTCAGGAGGAGCAGACACCCTGAGCAAGGCGCAGCTCTGTGTACCCGAAGGTGCAGGCACTGGCAGACAGGCCTGGGGATACAGGTCAGGGTACAGTGTGTGCCCCTCAGCTCAGCTCAGGCCATGGCCGGAGAAAAAGGATACAGGCTGGATGAACTTTGTTCGTCCTCCAAGTCCATCAAAGCCTATTCTTACCTAGGGCAGAAGAAGAAATGAGTGGATCAGGAGAATGGGCTAGGGAACTGACTGCCTTGTTCCACCCAGGAGGCCAGGTACACTCACCACATCTGTGCTGCAACGGGAATCTGCTGTGGTCCTGTTGGGCTGTTTTTGACCCCGAATAGCATTCCGGATGAAGAGAGGGAAGGCACCAGCCAGTTCCTCGTCTGGCTCTCCTATACAGCGCTGGCCACCCAGTGAGAGCTGGGACTCCTGTTGGGGGAATGCCAGAGTCAGACTTGACGAGCTAGACAGCAGCATGGAACATGGGGTAGTGACAGGGAGCGAGATCTGGTTATCAGGGTGTCTGGCTGGGCAGTGGTGGCACACACCTTCAATTCCAGCTCTTGGGAGGCAGAGGCAGGCAGATCGCTTGAGTTCGATGCCAGCCTGGACTACAGGGTGAGTTCCAGGTCCAAGACAGGAGGCAGAGGACAATCAATTAGGGTTATAAGGATGGCTCTAAAGAGTCTTCGTCCTGGGCTGAGGGGACCTGAACACAGTTTACACTCTCAGAAATAGAATTGCTTTTTCTTTGTTTTATTTTGTTTTGAGATGGTCTCACTATAGCCTGCCCATGATGCCCCAGAACTCACTATGAAGTCCAGGCAGGCCTCAAACTCAAGGCGATCCTCCTGCCTTAGCTTCCTGAATGCTGGATTACAGGCATGAACTACACACCCATTTTAGAAGTAAGGTTTCCATGTCAGTCTGTCAGTCTGACAAGGGCGAGATGTGATTGCTTATGTTTTCAAGGAACGCCCAGGCCTTACCTGCTTAGAGACTTTGGGTATCTTCTTGAGAATGTCCTGCACAGGAGAGCTGTAAGAGTGAGATGAAGGCAAGAGGTAAGTAAGCAAGAGAGCCAGACTTGGCGCATGCCCTTTTAAGGAGCCTCTGTGTTGCATGGCTACCATCACGGCTATGCTTTGGGCAAAGTAGCTCAGTGGTCTCTACCATGAGTAGTACAAATCTGCCAGAGTCAGGGTAGCCTGGAGCATGCATCAGTCTGTGGTCTCACTTCGATGCTCTCCTAGTCCTTGGGCTCTCACCACACCCTAGACTCTACCCGGTGCTAGGGAGCCAACTGACTTCCTCTGCACAGGAGGACGCGCACTCACACTCCCCGAAAGGCAGAAGCTATCAAATGAGCGCAGGCCCCATCTTGTCAGTTTGGGGGTTGGAGGCACTAGCTCTAGAAAACCCTCAGTAAGTCAGCCTCTCAGTAAGACTCGGCAAGGCAGCCTGCACAGTGCTCCCAGAGCCTCTGTAGAATCTTTGCAGGAAGGCCGCAGCAGGAGAGAGCACGAGCTGGGCTGTGGCTTTCTATTCTTACTGCCGGAGATGGACACTACCCATGTAATTTCTAGATACCCCCTCCTGGTATTTTTCCAGGTGAGATAGAGAGGATGATGGCCTAAGGTTAGCCCGGTAGCTTCATAAGAAAGGGTTAGGAGCAGGGCCTGCTGACTCTGGCTTCCTCTGCTCATTTCCCTAACCTGCAGTGAGCCCACATGATGAGCACAGGAAGATTCTCCACCGTTACAAGTCTGGCTCTGGTAAGGCTAAGCCAAGTTAGGGGCATTCTGTGCTCCCTTGACCCTCACAGTCCCTGAAGGCGGTGGAGTGTCTACAAGTCTGAAGGTCCCATGTGTCTGCAATCATTGTGTCCTGTCTCTTTGCCTACTCCCTCCTTCCTTCTTTGCAGAACTAGGCTTGGAGGCAGGGCCTTGTACAGGGGAGGCAAACACCATCACTGAGCTATGTCCCCAACCTGTACCTTCAGTTTTGACAGCAAAGGAGGAAGCAATAGAAGGGAGCCAGAGTAAGGAGCCGACATGATAAGCTCTCGGCTGCAGTCCGCATGACTCAGGCTTCTCACCGACACCAGGCCCGGCCCTACATAAGTGGGAGTTGAGCCCAGTTGGCTTCCTCTCGTTCTCTTTCATGGTATTGCCTAACATAGCAATTTCTTTCTCTGATATCCAAAGTCTCGCATTAAGATTTCCTTAGAACCAGAGAGATGGCTCAGCAGATAAAACTGCTTGCCATCAAGCCTACCGACCTGACTTTGATCTTTAGTCCCCTCATGGTACAAGCAGAGAATCCTCACAAACTGTCCTCTAATCTCCATGTGCATCCCACACATATACGAAATAGATAATAGATGTAATTTTTAAAAATGTAAAGAGGATTCCCTTACCGGAGTAGCACAGACCAATGTATGTGAAGGAGCACAGTCATCTTCACAGTGACACACAGGTGTGCCTGGCCAAGGACATGGCTTCCCCCTCCTAGTTCCACTGCATGTCTAGAGCAAGTCCCCCCATCCCCTTACGGCTTCACACAGCTCCTCATGTTCACCAACATGGGATACTTCCCTGGGTGCAGGGTCATGGGATCTACACTTTGAGATGGCCCTGCATTAAGCATGAACCTGAGAGGTACACACTGGGAAACGTCAGAGTCTAAAGCTCAGGACTCTGGTGGGCACTCCAGGCAGGAATCGAGGACCAAGTAGCTTGAGGCAAAGCTGCATCCTACTGAGGAGCCTCATCAACCACTCAGCCCTCAGGGCACGACCTACAGATGGCTTAGCTACTCCCCACCAGGTCCTGGGCACTGCCAGGGCCGGAGACTTACCGTGCCCTCTCCAGGCAGAGCTTCTTGGGGTGGCCATGCTGGGAGCTAGAGGTCTGGGCTGGAGGGGTATCTACATCAAAGGTAGCATTGAGGTCAATCTCATCACTGAGGGAGGGCCGGTGGAGCCTGGGGTTCAGCATCTCCACAGGGGCTGGGCTGAAGGTAGAGATAATCTTGTTACTGGGGACTGCAGTGATCACGAGGCAACTCAGCGTGGCCCGGTGAGATGGCTCAGCTGATAAAGACTATGGCTTCCAAGCCAGAAGCCACATGGTGGAAGAAGAAAAACGAATGCCAGTCGTCTTCTGATACCACGTGCATGCTGCGGCACACATGCACCGAAAATACACCCGTGCAGACACTCACATACACACAAATGTTAGAGAGGAGAAACAGGAGGAGAGAAAGGCAGCTCAGCTCCAAGGGTTCCTAAAGCCCACCTGACTCAGGGTCGCCCCAGAGGGAGGCCAGACCTCTACAGAATAAGCCCAGTGGGACTGCTGGTGGGTAAAGGCCAAGCCTGACGATCTGAGTTTGATCCCCAGGACCCCGTGGTGGAAGAGCTGACTCCTACAGCTTATCTTCTGAGCTCTACGTGCATGCCATGTCATACATGCACACATACTTAAATAGAATGAAAAAGAAATTTAACCAAACAAAATAACAGGCTATTTCCCTTTGGTCAACATACTCCTTTCCCAGAATTCACCGTAAAAAAGCCATTCAGATGTTGGCCAGTGGTGGCACATGCCTTTAATCCCAGCACTCAGGAGGCAGAAGCAGGGGGATCTGTGAGGTGAGTTTGAGGCCAAGTAGTCTATAAAGCAAGTTTAAGAACAGCCAGGGCTGTTACACAGAGAAACCCTGTCTTGAAGGAAAAAAAAAAAAGTCATTCAGACAGGTCACCACAGTGATATAGATAGGCAGATGATGCATCTTATCACAGCAAACAGTATGCTAATGCTCTGGTCCTTCAGGGATTGACAATGGTGAAGGCACTAGATGTTGTTCTCACGTCACTTTAGAACATGGAAAAATACTCACATGTCAATTTAAAAAGCAATATAAAGCCTGGGTGTAAACTGAGCAGTGGTGGCGCAAGCCTTTAATCCCAGCACTCGGGAGGCTAAGGCAGTCGGATCTCTGTGAGTTCGAGACCAGCCTGGTCTACAAGAGCTAGTTCCAGGACAGCCTCCAAAACCACAGAAAAACCCTGTCTCGGGGAAAAAAAAAAAAAAAAAAGTGGGTGTAATATCACACATCTATAAGCCCAGTAAAGAAGAACATGAGTTCAAAGCCTGCCTGAGCTACATAAGTTTGAGGCCAGCCTAAGCTATATAATATCGAGACTGCCTAAGAGAATATAAAAAATATATGCATATACAAGTCAGACACACACCCCTAATCCCAGCCCTCATGAAACAGAGGCAGGTGGACCTCTGTGAGTTTGAGGCCAGCCTGGTCTACACAGTGAGTTCCAGGACAGCCAGGGCTACACAAAAAATAAACAAAACAATACATATGTATGTTACTCAATGATTTGGTATATCCTTTTCTCTATACACCTCTCCCAGGAAACAGACGTGAAGGAAATACACTATGTGTCCAACTTCCTCTGCAATTAAGCCCACAGTTTTCAAATTCTCCACTTTTTTACTTCTGTAACGAGAGGGTGGTGCTCACTCTTTTAGAAAATTGCAGCCAACTCAACTTTTCTAGCCTTGCCAGACAGACCTGGCAGTACTCTCCAGCTTCCAAGGTCTGAGGAGAATTGAAAGGAATCGCAGGGACACCTCTAAGGGCACTTCCTCCAAGGACTTCCCTTGGGAGCTACACTTCAGCACTGTGCACCCTGGGTGTGCAGACCAGAAGAAAGGAGACTGCCTATAAATCGGGCCGGGTAAGCATCCTGGGACACCCAAATTTCTTCTTCCCTTCATCAGTATTTTTCTGTAATTGCTTACCTACTTCAGCAAGTTTAGGCTAAGGTAGGAAAGGCAAACTCGAGAGATAGGCCCAGTCTGGCAGGGTGCAGCCATTTTACTGCCTGAGGCCTTAGGCAAGGTTTTTCTACTACCATCTCCCAGGTCTCGCCCGGTGGTACCCATGGCACACAATCAGCCTCGGCTCATGTACTACCTACCACACTAAACCCAAGACTCAGGAGGCTCACACTCTCTCAGCCCAACATGAAGTTCAAAAGGACATATTTCTCGTTCTCTCAAACTGTTTCTGATATTTTCTTCCTTTGTTTTCTTTCTGACAGGGGTCTTGCATTTCTCCTATGACATGAGGAGGGAAAGCCTAGGATTCTGTGCGTTCTCCCTCACTACAGTGAAGGCCTGGCTGGAGGCACTGAGTGACTTTATTACCTGTGAGACACTCACCTATGGCCAACTTACATAGCTTCATGTCAGAGGCCTCAGGAAATGAGGCAAGAGATTCTAAGCCCTCCTTTCTAAGCCAGGGCCAAAGCCCTGTCAACAACTCCATGAACTCATAGCTCCTATCGGTCCTACCATAAATGAAGGTCTCCCAGATCCCACCAGCCCAGAGGGCAAAGGAGTATGGTGCAGCCATGCAAAACTCCTGAGGGAAGAGAGGGCCCCTTGGAGCTGCCCCGCCTTCTCCAGGTTCTCCTCAGACCCCACCAGGCCAGGTGTGGCAAGGCAGGGCTACCTCCTGAGATTGCCCTAAAATAACAAGCAGGGCTGGGGACGTGGCTCAGGCAGTACAGTGCTAGCCTAGCATGCATGAGGTCCTGGGTTCAATCTTAGATCTGCATAAATCAGATGTGGCAGTACATGCTTATGTTCCCAGCACTCGGGATGTAGATCCAAGAAGATAAGAAGTTCAAGGTCATACTCAGCTGCATAGTACATATGAGACCAGCCTCAGCTATAAGATATAACTCTAGTCTCAAAAGAATAAAACAATGAAATAAAACAAGGGCTGAAAAGATGGACCAGAGGTTAAGAGCACTGGCTGTTTTTCTAGAGGACCTAATTTCAATTCCCAGAAACCACATGGCAGCTCATAATCTGATGCCCTCTTCTAGTGTACAGACACACACGCAACCACCTGTATAAGTAAATCTTTAAAATAAAATGACAGAAGCAAAGGGTAATGTCACCACAACAAATGAAACAGGCAACACCAATAATACTCAGAGCCTTCCACAAAATACAGAGAGAGAGAGAGAGAGAGCGCAAGGCCTGGTGATGTGAGCCTGACATAGAAGTCAGAATTCACAAGGTGGAGGCTACGAGGCATTAAGCAAGTCTGAAAACCGAGGCACAGTTCAAGGAATCATTAGTAGCGGATGGACCAGAGACACAGACCAGCCACTCAGAGCTATCCTTCAGAAACATTTCCAACAGTTTCTACTGTTCCCAGGATAATAGCTGCACCTACAAGGCTAACTCATGAAGACAGGCAGCGATCTGGCCCACCTGTCACCTACCTCTCTCCTCCAAGCCCACTTTTAGCAATGCCTCAGGGACTGTGAACTCGCCATCCTCTCTGCCTGGATTTCTCTTCCTTCAGATTTAAATGGTGGTTTCCTGAATGAGTCTGTACATTGTAGGAAAGTTCAAGATTCTTCACAAGCTGGAGAGATGGCTCAGTGGTTAACAGCACTGACTGCTTCTTCCTAGAGGTCCTAAGTTCAATTCCCAGCACACACATGGTGACTCATGACCATCTGTGATGAGATCTGGTGCCCTTTTCTGGCCTGCAGGGGCACATGCAGGCAGAATACTGTATACATACCAAAGAAAAAGAAAAAAGAAAAAGATTCTTCCCAAGCCACACAGCAAGTCAGTTCCCAAGGGAGAAAGACAGAGGCACTTTTAGTTCTGGGAGTCACACAATCAGGGCATTAAAAAAACTGAAAAGGCTGCTCCCAAGGAGTCAAGAACTCTGTTTTACATCTCAAGGTCCTAGAAGAGAGAGCCTGGAATTCAGGATAGACTATGCCAAGATAATGCTAATGCTAAATGCAACAGTCCTATTACCCAAGTTTTCTTTTCTTTCTGAGAAGTTTCTCTGTATTGCTTTGGAGCCTGTCCTGGAACTAGCTCTGTAGACCAGGCTGGACTTGAACCCACAGAGATCCACCTGCCTCTGCCTCCCAAGTGCTGGGACTAAAGGTGTGTGCCACTACTGCCTGGCTACCCAAGTTTTCAGGCCTAAAAAAAATATTGGTGCACCGGGTGGTGGTGGTACATGCCTTTAGTCCCAGCACTCGGGAGACAGAGGCAGGTGGATCTCTGTGAGTTCAAGGCCAGCCTGGTCTACAGAGTTCTAGGACAAGCTTCAAAGCTACATAGAAACCTTGCCTCCAAAACAAAAAGAAAAAAGAAAGGAAAAAAAAAAAAAAAAAAAAAAAAAAAGGAAGAAAGGAAGAAAGATATTGGTGAAAAAGGGGAATTCAATTATCCTGCATACAACCTGATGGACAGCACAGCCTGGCTTTGGATACACAGGTTTGGCTAATGTAGTGTCCTTCTGACTTGACCAAAACTGTCCCCTTAGTGACAAGATAGGATAAGATGTAGGTCCTGGCACAAAGCTTCCTGTAGCCTCATCCCCATCTGGGATTTCTAGACCAGATTCTATAGTACAGTGCAGACCTGGTGGACTCAGGTTTAAACATCTAAACCCACAGCTAATTATCCTACTAAAACAAGGCTCAAGAGGATTGGGAGGGTCTGGCATACAGCAGACACACGTATTATGGGGTATGGGGATGAGTAGTAAAAGCAGGAAATCAAGGTCCCCGTGTGCTTTTTTTTTTTTTCCTTACTATAAATGACAGGCACAGGGAACAACTGTGTGGAAGGATCCTGAGGTTCACAGAAAGAAGCTAGCAGGAGGCTGTGGATAGCCTAGAGACTAGAGATTGGTTTTGTATCCCCAACCTTGAGGCAGATTGTGTTCTAAAGCTTTTCTGAGACTGTCATTTCCCCAAGGGCACATACTATACTTGTTTAGGCTGTTGGCAAGGCCCCTCATGTTACATGGGACTTCAGAGAAGGCATGGCTAATGGCTAGGTGAAGTGGGAGGGTCAGGAAGAGAGCCTACAGGGTTGTCAAAAACCAACCCCATACTGGACATCAGGGGAGATTATGTATCCACTATAGTCCTACAGCTCTCAGTTCATCCTAAACTGGAGAGGCAGCACAGTTTGGCTCCACGGAGAGATGCTGAGGAAAAGAATAATGTCTGATGAGATGGCTCAGAGGGCAAATTAGGCCCTTCCGGGTTGCTGAGGGAACCTTCGAAGTTAAGGAGGGCCTTTTGAGTGACAAGTTGGTGCCTCTAATAGGCTGCTCTTGTTCTTGCAAGGTATGATGGGAAGAGAAGAAACCCAACGAAAAAAAAAGGATGCTTGCTGCACAAGTCTGGCAACTTGAGCGACTCCTTCAACCCACGGAAAGGTGAGAGGAGAGAACTGACTCTCCAAACCTGTACTCTGCCTTCCACATGTACATTGTGACATGTACAACCACATACACATACATAGTGCAAAGTGTCAAAGATATCCGATGGAGACCCATGGTCCACACACTCACACTCACACACACACACACACACACACACGCTCACACACACACACTCAGCTCACACACACACGCTCACACACACACGCTCACACACACACACACGCTCACAACGCTCTCACACACACGCTCACACACACACACATGCTCTCACACACACACGCACACACACGCACACACACGCACACACGCTCACACACACGCTCACACACACACGCTCACACACACACACACGCTCACACACACGCGCACACACACACACACGCTCACACACTCTTCAAGTGCTATCTGGCTGAGGAGGCTAGCCAGGACAACAGAGCCTTCAGTGAGGGAAGAGCTGGAAGTGTTTTCTTATGGTTGGCTGTGATACTGCAGAATCCTGAGAAAGCACTTCAGTCTAAACCAGCTCCGTGAATGTCCCAAATGCAGTATCAAGGATCTGAGATGTGGAAAGTCAGGGGGCACAGTGCCCAGGAACCAAGTGAAGTGTTGGAAGGCACTGAATGTGTGAATTTCACAGGCAGGGAGAAGGGCATATTGATTTGCCAAAAGATATTGAAAAGTGGCTTAAATAAACTCTGGGCCATTGACAGGAGTTTTTAATTTGGCTCCCCTTGCTGGGGTCCTCTGGCAGGCAGAAGACAGGCTTGAGGATGTTCTTAGCCAGCCTGATTCTGTGAAAAACACTCAGAAAGATTAACTTGTTCCTGGCAGGGACACCAATTCCTGGGTCTTTTGGCGCCCTCTGCTGGTCACCTTAAAGCACACATTACTGAACCAGAGGAAGTTTTTATGTATTTATTTTGGTTTTTTGAGACTGGGTTTGTCTGTTGAACAGCCCAGGATGTCCTGAAACTTGCTTTGTAAATTAGGCTGGCCTCGAACTCACAGAGATCTCCCTGTCTCTACCTTCCGAGTGCTGAGATGAAAGGTGTGTACCACCACTTCCCTGCTTGAGAGGGGGTTATTTGAGAGTGAGTGCTTTCAATTGTTTCAGAAATGGGGGCAGACAGATAAATGTAGTGAGAAACTCCAGGATACCCCAAGATAGCCAAGGCTCTGTCTCACCCTCAGATGACTCAAAGGCCTTCTCTGACCTTTCCTTGTCAGAGCCTACATTTTCTCAAACCTGCGGGCTGGCTTTCTGACCAGAAAGTCCACAAACACCATCTATCCCACCAAAGCCAGGCACGAAGGCTCCCTCAGCTTATGATCCCTGTATCACCCCAGAAAGCTAACAAACCTCTCAAAAACCAGGCGGCTGACGGTCTCACTGGTCACTGGAGGCAGGTTCAAGGTTTCCTGCAGCATCATGAGTTTCTTTCTTAGGCTCTGGAGGAAATAGAGAACATGAGAGAAAGGTAGAGGTTCTATGGACACCCGTGTGAACACCTTGCTCCTGGGAACACAGCAAGGACTGAATGCCCAACACCAGCCTTCAGAACTCCTCTTTGGTAAAGCCCTTGCTCAGGTGGTGAGGAATATACCCTGACCCACCTCCCTGACCCCTGACCCAGGAGGATTAAAAAAAAAAAAAAAAAAAAAAAAAAAAAAAAAAGCCCAGAACCACCACCCCTGACTGGGACAGGGGCTCCCAGGCAGAAACAGCCCAGCTCTACTCTCAGAGGCACATAAACAACCCCTATCTTCCCTTCTCATCAGGCCAGGGTGTCTCACCGTGATCTCCTTGTCAGCATTCTGTAAATCCTTCTGGGCTGACTTCAGTTCTAACTTGGCCTGATCCAGCTCAGCGTAGACAGCCTTCAACTATAAGAAAGGACAAGCCAATGGTACCACATGTCCTGCCTGCTACCTGCTGCCCCTCAGTGGGGTAGAGTCTAAAAGAAACTGGAGGCATGAGGAGAACCCCAGGCCTTTGGGAAAAGGCTCAACTAGGCATATATCCATAGGGCTGCCCAGGAGCAAGGCTCCCCTCTCTGCACATTGCAGCCTACAGAATTAAACGCAGCTGGCCTCAGAAGCTGTCACACTTAAGGACTGTGCTCTCCAAGCCAGCTAAAATATGCCTAGGACCAAGAAGAGCAAAAGGTAGCATAAGTGTGTGGTGGTGGCACACCTCCATGAATCGGCCCCCGAGTGCACAAGCCAGAGTGAGAGACAACACACAGCAAAGCCAGTCATTAGTGTCTGTCGGCCACCTCACTGCGGTCAGGCTAGATGGCCTAGCTCAGGAGACCCAGTGACCACAGCAAACCAAGAGTCATGGCTCCTTCTTTCCCTTTTGTTCCCATTCAGTCACCTTGCTCCTGGAGGCAGCCAAGTCCTTCTTCAACTTGTCAGCCAGCTCCCCTGAGGCCTTCCGTGCTTCTTTCAGATTCTCATACTCTCTGCACAGGGGCCATGAGAAGAGATGACAGAACAGGACACCCTGATGCCATAGCCCCAACCTAACAAAGGCCTCACTCAGACCCTTAGCTCCTTCTCACTCTCCCTCAGGTGGCCCCATGGCAGGTCCTGCATAGGGTGTAATGAAGTCAGGAAACAAAACCTTCTCCTGCCACCTCCAGGAACTGTGGCTTGAGAACGTATGCAAGGAGCTCCAGCCTCACTAGGGGGCTCCCTTTAATCCCAAATGAAGGCATTTTGGATTCTCTGTGCCTGTCAGTCAAATGGCTCCTTCATCCCAACTCCCCATCACTATAATGAAGAACATAGGCAGTTTCTTATCAAAGCCAGACAGGGTCACTAACAGTGCTGATGGGAAATAAGCTCACAGCTGAGAGCTGCATGAGCTCCTTAGAAACAACACCTAGAATCCACGCTCTGCTCTCAGTGATTCTAAGGCAGGTCTATCTCCATGCAGGAAAGCGTAAGTCACAGAGGCCTCCAAAGTGGCCTAAGAGCTATAGTACACCCAATGGCAACATGGTTCTAGAACGTGCTTCTTCACACACTGTTTACAGAAGATGGCAGCAGAGGTATGACCGGAAATGAGAATCTAGTCCCTGGGCTTACATACTTCTTGAGGGACACGCAGTACACAGCCAGCTGCTCCACCGCTGAGTGTCCTACACCCATGTCTCGGATCATCTCCTCCACCTCAGACCGCTGGCTCTGGAGTAGGAGCTCAATTCTGAAAAACATTCCAGGCCCACGGCATTTGAAATCTGGAGGCTGATGGTTAGTCTGCCTCCCTTTGCTGCCGTTGCTATGGCAACAGCCTGGGCTGCTAGGATGCTTTAGCAGGTGGGTGTGCCCAGGGAAAGGTTCCACAGCAGAGCTGAGCTCAGCTCCAGGGAGTCGCTGAGGAAAAAGAGGTGCTAACAGAGGACTTCAAGGTTAGGAACTTCATGGAGAGAGGTCCCTGGAGGGAAGGGTGGCAGGCCATCTATCCACAGGCAACAGAACACGGAGCACAACAAGAGACCCATAAGGAGGGAAGGGGCCCACAGAGGGTAGGAAAGGAAATCTGTGCCCACAAACGCCGCTTCCAGCTGCAGTCCTGAGAATTCCACTCCCTTTTCCAGGGGCCTCTGGTGTGAAGGCACAGTACAGAAAGAGCTAGAAACTCACTGCTCCATGGTCTTCATCTTGCTTTTGAGCCGGCGGGCCTCCTCCCGAGCTTGCTTGGTCTCATCCTGCTGCTGCTCCAGGAACTTCATCTGCTTCTGATGAGCAAGCATACCCATGCATCTCCTCATCTCTCAGAGCCATGGTCACTGAGAACTACCCATATTGTAGCGTTTGTTTGTTTGGTTTGGTTTTTTTTCGGGACAGGGTTTCTCTGTGTAAAAGTCTTAGCTGACCTAGAACTCGCTCTGTAGACCAGGCTGGCCTCAAACTCACAGAGATCTGTCTGCCTCTGTCTCCTGAGTGCTGGGATTAAGGCATGTGCCACCACCGCTTAGCTTTTGACAGGGTTTCACACACCCCAGGTTGGCTATGAACTCACTATGTAGCCAAGGATGGCCATAAACCCCTGATCTTCCTGCCTCCACTTCCCAATTGCTGGGGTTATAGGAGTATACCTTCATATTTCGCTGTCTTTGGAAGATGTTAATAAACATGTATCTCCAAATTGTAGGATATAAAACCCCTGAGAGCCCCTTATGCTGATCTGTTCTCTGTGTGTGTGTATCCATGTGAAGTGCTGGAAATCCAACCTAGGCTTTGAACTATAGCCCTCACTTGGCCTATGTGTTTGTTGCTAAGAGATTTCAGGGAAGCTGTATCCTCAACTCCAGAGATGTGCCATGCTATAGGCACAGCTCAGTGGCTCAGGCCTACTGTGGGCTGCCTAGATTCTACAGGCTGGGTCTTACTTTCTATAATAGCACTAAAGAAGCAAAGAGCACAAATCCATATCTCTTCTAGACACACGGACAAGAAGCTCCAGGGTAGGAAAGCCAGGCCAAGGGCTGTCCTCGGTGTGAGACCACTTCGTCTCTGACTTAGGAATGCAAACTGGTGCTAGTTTGCTCCATCCTACCAGGTAGGCCATGTGATGCTGCTCAGCCTCCAAGCAGGAACAGATAATGAATATCCTAGGGCCTTGTCTGTTCATGAGGATGATGGCTCTTATCCCTTTCAAATGGCACCCAGCAAGGGCTGCTCCTGCCTACAAGACTAGAATATCAATCGTGAGTTCAGATCAATCGCCTCATGGCCCTCGGAGAGCAGGAGGCTCACGAACCCAAGCTGATACAAAATTCATCTGGGTCTAAGCCTGCTTGCTCTACAGCTTTGATCTGCTCGGTCAGCTCGGCACAGCGGACTTCAAAGGCCTTTGCTCCTCCCTAGGATGCTGTTTGATCTGGCTCCAGAGAGCAGCCCTGCCAAGGACTGGAGTCCTAATGGAAGATTCTTCAGACTGGCCTCATCAGTGGAGTAGGAGCCACTTTTAGAAACATGGCCCAGCCTACTCAAGTCTCCGTTGAGCAGGTCCTCTGTGAAGTGCTAGGAAGGCCTTGTTACCTGGTACAAAATCCACAAGCACAGCCATTATAGCCCCTTTTCATATAGGCTTGATGGGTATGGTATGGAAGGGCCCTGGGAAGAAGAGCTTTGCCTTCACCTTACTACCGTATAAACAAAGGTATTGGTTGAAGCAGAACTAGAAGACACAATTATAACTGTGAGCCTAGGCTGGCCATAGTGGTGCATGCCTTTAATCTCTGTACTTGGGAAGACAGAGACAGGTAGATCACTGCGTGTTCCAAGCAGAGGACTTTGGCTATATCTTCCCACTGACTCTGAAGACTTACTTTAAGAGTGGAACACAGCATCTCTGTCTTGTTTAAGGCGTTCTGCAGGGACTCCACAGTGGCATTGCGTTCTTCCAACGTGTCCCGTAGAGTGTCGATAATGGCCTGGCTGTCCCGTTTCTCCCTCTCTGGAGCAGGGGCAGAAGGGAGCAAGGCAAAGGCTCATCCATGCATGACAACTGTGACCCCTGAATGGAAGCACCTTCTCCCTGAGCCAGGTAAGAACAAGGAGTAGGCCAGAAAGCTGGGTGGCCTGCTACTTTCTGCCATGCACCAAGAAAACTAAGCTAGAGCTTTCACCTGGGAGACAAGCACTGCTTTTTCCTGCTTGAACTATTTGGGTAGATCTCACTGTTCCCCACTCCTGTGGGTCTAGTTAATCCCTCGTTATAAAACCCAAGCAAATCCCTGTCAAACTCAGTAGCTTAACCCTGATGATAGAACTCAGCCACCCCTCCTCTGCTTTTTGTCTAGTTAAAACTGAGTTAGCAAGACGAAGGAGGAAGAACCCTGGCTTTGCCTGAGGTTGGAGGCTTTCACCTTGGCCCCCTCCCTCCAACACCAAGTCAGGGCCTTCTCAGGGCCTCTTGTCACTTGTTAACTTACCTTTCTGGGAAAGCTGCGCTCTGATACTATCCAATTCATTCTGCAAGACAATACACACAATAAACAACAGGAGCACATTATAGCTAGCCTCTAGACAGCCCTCATAAGGCCATGCAGAGCTCCAGGATCAATTAAGATTACTGGTCCAATATATTTCAAAGTTAAGCATAGAGATGCACATTGTTTTTATGTTTATGGTATTTGTTTGTGTTTTTGAGAGAGTCTCACTAGGTAACTCAGACTGTCCTGGAACTCACTTTATACAGCAGGCTGGCCTTGAACTCACAGAAATCCACCTGTCTCTCCTCCTGAGTGCTGGGACTAAAGGTATGCATCATCATACTTGGTATGGGACATTTTAAAAAAAGATTTATTTACTTTTGGGCTGAAGAGAAGCCTCAGTGGTTAAGAGCACTGGCTGCTCTTCCAGAGGTCCTGAGTTCAATTCCCTGCAATCACATGGTGACTCACAATCATCTGTAATGAGATCTGGTGCCCTCTTCTGGCGTGCACGCATCATACAAACACAGCAGTCACATACATAAAATATATAAACCTTTCAAAAAAGATTTATTTATCTATTTTATGTGTCTCAGTGTTTTGCCTGCATTTATGTCAGTTCACCATGTACTCACATTGCCTGCTGCAGAAGACAGTGTCAGATACCCTAAAACTCAAGTTATAGTCTGTTGTGAGCCACCATGTGGGTGCTGGGAATCAAACCATGTTATTTGCAAGAGCAGTGCAAATAACCCTTAACCATCTCTCCAGCCCCTTTCTGAGCCTTTTACAAAGGTAGATAAGGGGCTGGAGAGATGGCTCAGAGGTTAAGAGCACTGGCTGCTCTTCCAGAGGTCCTGTGTTCAATTCCCAGCAACAACATGGTGGCTCACAGCCATCTGTAACGGGATCTAGCACTCTCTTCTGGACTTCAGGCATATATGCAGACAGAACATTGTATACAAAATAAATGAAGAAAAAAAAAAAAAAAAAAGGAACGTAGATAAGAGGAAGGAAATGAATCCCACAGGAAGTGAGCTTGGCCTGCTGGTCAACAGTCAACAGCAGAGGATTCCGGGGCTCCTGGTCCTGCAGTAGCCTCACCAGGGACATAGAACAAAGATGGCCAAGCACTCTGAGCCATCACTAGTTTTCTCTGTCGGGCCTTGCCTGCTTCAGTCTACCTCCCTCAAGCTCCAGGCTGGTTCTGAGAGGCGGGAGTAGAAGGGAATCCAGCTGGCACTTGGGAGTTTAGAGAACCCAATGTCCCTGTGAGCAGGAGATTCCATAGCCACAGTCAGGAGAAGAAAGGTTTTTATAGTCCACTTCCAGGCTTAGGCAAGAGTCCACTGTGGAGAAACCAGGCACTTTTCTCCAGACCACCATTTAAAGGTTAATAGAAGACTCAGAATTTCATGTGACCACTAGTAAGTACCCCCAACCCCAACTACCGGCCTCTCTGCCCAGGACTCCTGGGGGCAGGAGCTCCTATGGCTGGGCTGGGCAGTATAGACCAAACAATTGGGAATGGAAATGGTAGACAGGGAAGAACATGCCGGGTCTGCCTGAGAATAGACACCAGCTGCTACACAGTTCTCCATCGTCTCCTGGCTCCTTCTACCCCTCAGCAGGATGTCTTCGAAGTCCTTGCTCCAAACTATTCAAGATGCTGCCTCCCTGTCTCACAGACTTGGCTTTGAAAGCTGAAAAGACTCGAAGCTGCCTTTGTTGTCTTCATCGCAGGGAGGACACCTCTTAAAACTAGGAGCAGTTACCATGACGATGAACAGGCTGGCTCCAAACACAAAAGCTCAACCATTTTGAAGCAAGGAGGTTCCAAGGACATCATAACACCCAGGGGGCTAAGGTCAAATGAGTGGTAATCTGATAGATTCCCAGCAAATTAACCCTTAGTGTTCAGCAATCACTTGTAAACCCCAATTTTCCTTACAGACACTGATTCCTCTATGGCTGGGCTTGGGAAGGCCCAGGCGTCTGCCTTTATACCACACTCTCCAGGCAATTTTGAGGCACAGCCAGGTTAAGGAATGGTGGATTCACACATCCTATCCTCCCGGACTAGTGAGAATGGAAGAATTTCTAAACATGTCACTAACTGCCCCAAAAGAAAGGGGACTGAGCAGGAAGGCCCTAAATCATTCATAAAGTGAGGGGCCTAAGGAGAGGCTACCCTCTGCCCTGAAAGCCCAAGGGGACATCTCATAGTCACGTGACCCTCTCCTCTCACGGTACATGCCTCTGGTGACGGTCTCAAAGCCACATGCCCCCCCCCCCCCCCCCCCGATAGCTCCACAGGCCTGTCTCCATCCACACTCTCTAGGCGCCTTCTCTAGTGGAAGTGAAAAGGTAACTCCCACAGGTTTGGAATTCAGTAAAACGAAATAGATTCTGGGTACCTTTAAGAATTCTGCATCCAAGACTCCTTCCTCTTCCTGGGCAAGGTCAAAGAAAAGCTTATTGATGATAGCCTTTTTGCCAACCTGGACGAGAGAACAAGGTGAAGTGAGGTCAAAGGTGATGAGGAAAGATTGAACATGGGTTTGACTGCCGGCCACGTGAGCCAGGTCTGCGCTCGGGACTAACTTTTCAGCACATATCCTTTTGAGTCAGAAGACTTCTTCCTTCCTACACATACCCAGAGTCAGGACTGCTGGCCTGCTGGTGGCTGAAGTCATGTCACTGTAGACAACATTTATGAGTCTTAAAAGACTCTTCAACTCTATTATAGGGACATTTGTTAAACACTAGAGGAGGCCACACAACCATCTTCACCCATAGGGTGTAAGCAAGCCTCCAGAGTAACTTACAGGCGTGTGTGAACATCCACTGGCCTCAAACCAAGAGACCGGTCAAAACGGTCAGGGTATCTCTGTTTCAGGGATGCTCTCCCCATCCCTGTCTTCGGGAAAGAAGAGGTCTTTAGCTGAGACACCCACCCTCCATCATCCTTACCTGGATTCTACACTGTGGGCAGGTTCGACTTGGTGCTGTCTCAAACCACTGGATTAGGCTACAAGGAAAACAATAAAAGACAAGTAATCCTGGCATGGCTGGGGATACAGATCACATGATCACTGCTATTGGTTCCTTTCTGACCCAACACCTGCCTGCCTGCAATGGGAGACTGTCACTACAGGCAGACTTTCCTTAAGGACTACACAGTGCTTAGCAACCAGCTGTGGTTTAGGGTTTGAAGGCTATTCTTTGTGAGTTGGACTGTAGAGTCTAGGTGACAGACAAAGCTCAGAGTATCTCAGGAGACAGAGCTTCTGAGAATACCCTACTTTAAGTTCGGACTCTGAGGGCTACACTCTTTTTAAGTAGTGGGAAAAGCAAAACACAGCCTAGATTTACATAATTGATTGGTATCGTCCGGGCCTTAAATGCTAATTGAAGCAGTCTCCTGTAGGTGTTACCTACCTGTAATCCTAGTACTAGGCAGAAAAATTGCACAGAGAGAGACTGGAGCAGACTTCTTCACTCCAGGAATGAGACAAACAAATTCCTCTTTGAAAAGTGATACCATTTCCATTTCCCTTACCTAAATCTTTCCTATAAATATATTTAAAAACTACTGTTACCATAACCTCACCAACCTGGCCCCACAACCGTGTCAGCCCCAAATGAACACTCAAGACATATTAATTATAATACTGTTGGCCGATGACTAGGGCTTCTTATTGGCTAGCTCTGTCTTAATTACTAACCCATTTCTATTAATCTAAGCATTCCCACGTAGTCTTATCTTACGGGAGAGAGGTCCGGGGACCTGTTACTCCTCTGGCATCCTATATGGCGACTGCTCTCTGCCTACACCTCCCAGAATCCTCCTCATCTCCTAGACCCACCTGTCTTGCTGCCCTATTAATCCGTGTTTTATTCATCAACCAATAAGATAAACATATACAGAAGACCATTCCCCACCAAACTACAAATACATTCAAAGACCGTGTACAACACAAAATTAAGGCTAATCAGGTACAGTGGAATAGTTAACTTCAATAGAATAAAGCAATCTAGACATGCTCATGCCTGTAATCCCAGCATTTGGGGACAAAGACAAGAGGATTGCCATGAATTTCAGGCCAGTCTGTGGTACATGATGAGTTCTAGGCTATCTCAAAAGCCAAATAGCCAATCCCCAAAAAATAGGTAGCCAGGCAAGGAGATGAATGCCTTCAATCCAATTCCTGGGAGGCAGACGCAGGCAGACTTCTAAGTTTGAAGCCAGCCTGGTCTACATATTGAACTCTGAGCCAACTAAGGCTACACAGTGAGACCCTACCTCAAACATATAAACAAAAATAAACCAAACAAGCAAAAGAAAAATGATCCAGGTATGGTGGCACACACTGTATCTTAGATATTTGAGAGGCAAAGGCTTCCCCATGGTGAATTTGAGGACAACCTACACTATATAGTAAGATCTTGTCTCAAACCAAAACCAAATAAACAAGCCAGCCTTGATGGCACAAAAATATAACCCCAGCATTTGGGACGCAAAGGCAGGAAGACCAGAAGTTCAAGACATAAAGTGACCAGACATATAAGGCCAGACTGGGCTAAAAGAGACCTACCAATAAAACCGACCAACCAAAGCTAAAAGGCTATGGACAGGAGGTAATTCAGTGATTCAGCATCTGTCTACCATGTGGGAAACCCTGGGTTTGAGGATGGCAAACAAGAAAAATTATAGATGATAAAAGACATAGGAGGTACTCTGGGAAAATCTGGCTCAAATATGTATAAAAGCTCTAAAAAGACAATGGTAGGCAGAATAATACCACCCACCTCCAAAAAAGTCTATTCAGATCCCTAACCTGTGAACATGTAATCTTAGATAGCAACAAGAATTTTGCAGATGTGACTAAACTAGGAACTGAGATGAGGATTTCTGCTTTTCCCCCAGCTGTTACGGGTTGAGCCCAATGGCTCCCATGTTCTGGCTTGTGTTCTACTGTGCTATACCTTCCAGCCCTGAGATAAGGAGCATCTAAGGGCTACACAGTGAAAGCCTGACAGGAAGAAAGAAAGACTCTAATCAGTATGAGTATGAATGAAACTTTAAGATACTATGTTAACTGAAATAAACCTGTCACAGAAGACTAAATGTACTTGGAGAATGGAGAATGAGAGTTACCTGGGCCTTGGGGCAAGAGACAACCAGAGTTACCACTAAAGCAGTACAGCATTTCAATTTGGAAAAATAAAAACACTTTAAAAACAGTAGTGACAGTCACATAAAATGTGAATTTTAACAATACTGAATTATATACTCTTTAAATTCTTTGAGATAGCCCAGGCTGCTCTTCCTATCTCAGTCTCCCGAGTGCAGGGATGAAAGGTAGTCAGCACTTCAGCTTGAGTTGTGTGTGTGTGTGTGTGTGTGTGTGTGTGTGTGTGTGTGTGTGGGTGGGTGTGTGTGTGAGACCTGAAATGGAACCTCATTAAGATGGTAATTTTTACGATGGACATGTTTTGCTACAACTGAACAACAAAAACAGAAACAAAATAAATAAATCAAAAATCAATCTGATGCACAAAGTATTTATCAGGACATCTATCATGAAAAAAGGAAGGATTAGGAGTCACACACTTTAGACAAGTTCTCACATGCAGCAAAGGTTGGCTACACTGTGTGTGTGAGAGATTTAGCTCAAGGGTTGAGCATATAGTTAGTATATACCAGGCTATATGTTCAATGTCTAGCACTAATAAAATGATGTTTGAAATCAGCTTGTGTAACATAGAGATGTGAGAGAGAAATAGAGAGACAGAGACAGAGAGAGAAAGAAGGAGAGAAGAGACTCAGGCAGCTGTTATGGAAAATAGTATTGCAGGTCCCAAAAATCCCTAAATATAGATTCTCCATCTGTCCCAGTCTTTTGGCTCCCAGGTATATGTTCTAAAGAACTGAAACAGAGACCCAGACAGGGACTTATACAGCAGTTCATAGTAGCATTATTCACAGCAGTCAAAATCTGGAAATACCTGTCTATCAACAAATGTGGATAAACAAAATATGGTATTTTCATACATACAATTAAACATTGGCCACAACAAAAATAAAATTCTGATACATGCTATAAAATGGATGTTAAAGTTATTGTGCTAAGTGAAACACATCAGACACAAAAGGGCAAAGAATAAAGACCCTGCTTATACGGGATCCCTAGAATAGGGACTCAGGGGCAGAAGGTGCAGCAAAGGGGCTCAGGGCCAGGAGGAGAAGATACGGAGAATGATCATTTAATGGGTAATATGCTTCCGTCCAGATGATACAAAGTTCAGACAACAGTGCTGAAGGCCATACAGCATTGTAAATGTACTTAATGCCACCAAATCAGCACCTTAAAAATGGTTAAAATAGTGCCAAGTATGGTGGTACACAACTTCAATTTCTCCACTCAGGTAGATCTCTGTGTTCAAGGTCAGCCTGGTCTACATAGTGAGACCTTGCCTCAAAAAAAGGAAAAAGAAGTTAAATATTTTTTTTTTGAAAAATTGAACCAGGCATAGGGTTATATGCCTGTAACCTAGTCCCTGAGAGTCTAAGAAAGGAAGAGTCTAAGCTTGAAGCCAGCCTGGCTACATATTATGACAGCAGTATTTAAAATGACAAAGGCTTGGAACTGTGGAGGTAAAGCACTGGCTGCTCTCCCAGAGTACCTACGGCCACTCACAGCCGTCTGTAACTCCACTCTCAGGAGTTCTGACCTCTACATATACTGGACTGCTCATGGTGCACAGAAATACCTGCAGGCAAAACATCCACACCCTTAAAATAAAACAGAATAAAAAACAAACAAAAACAAGGGCTAAGGATGCATCTCAGTGATAGAATATCTATTAGTTCATAAGTGACCCCCAGCATCTCTCTGTCTCTCTCTCTCTCTCTCTCTCTCTCTCTCTCTCTCTCTCTCTCTCACACACACACACACACACACACACACAGAAAGAAAGGTAGGTAAGAAAGTAGGTAGGTAGGGGACTAGAATTCAATGGTACTTTCTGTATCCTCAGTTTCAGGAGACCTGACACCCTTACAAGGACTTATATGCAGGCAAAACCACCAGCACTCATAAAATAAAACCTAATTAATTAGTTAAAGAGGAAAGAAAACATTAAAAACTCAAATTAAGAAACAGTCTACAAAATAACTGACTCAGACTCTTCAAAACTGGCAAGACTTGCCAGAAAGTGGTGGTGAACACCTTTGTGAGTTCGAGGCCAACCTGGTTTACAGAGCAAGTTCTGGGACAAGCTCCAAAGCTACAGAGAAACCCTTTCTCAAAAAATCCAAAAATAAAAAAGGTCAAGACCATTAATAACAAATAAAACAACAAAATCTACAAGAAACACCAAAGCTGTCATAGACCAGAGTTGACTAAGATGATAAAAAATTGAATGTAGCCTGGTAGCCTGGCCTTGATCCAGGAATAAACATAAGGGCATTAATGAAGGAAACACCAGTAAAACGCAAATACGCTCCATAAGTTCTATAGTACCAGAGTATTGTACCAATGTTACTTTCTTAGCTAAGAGAATTGTACAAACATGTAAAATGTTAATATTGGAGAATTTATGCAAAGGACATATAATAACGCTCTGTATCACCTTTAAATTTATCAGTAGGTGAAAACTATTGCAAACAAAAAGTTCATTAATTGGGAGGCAAAAGCAGGCATATCTTTTGAGTTTAAAGCCAGCCAAAGCTACATAGTGAGACCCTGTCTCAAAAAAAAAGAAAAGTTTATTCAAAATACATGGGGCAGAGAGGGCTTAGAATATAGCACAGTAATAGAGTGATTGCCTAGCATGCACAAAGGCCTAAATTTAATCCTTAGCACAATATACACCAAACATGGATGGCACACACTTGTAATCCAACACTTGGGAGACAGAGACAGGATGATTAGGAATTTGGGGTCATCTCTGGTTACACAGTAAGTTCAAGGCTAGCCAAGGGTACATAAGCCATCAGTGGAAGCCACAGATAGTGGTATTCTCCTGTAATTTCAGCCTTCAGGAGGCTGCAGGCAGGAGGACTGTCACAAATCCCAGGCTAGCCTGGGCTAGACAGCAAGTACCAGCCAAGCCCATACTACGTAGAAAGTCCCTGTTTCGAAAACAAAACAAACAAGGATCTAGACTAGTGGTAGAGAGAGCACTTACCTTCCACGAACAAGGCAAGGATGGGATGGGGTGGGGGTGGGGAACACACCTGCAATCTGAGTTCCAGGAAGCTGAAAAAACAGAACTGGGAATTCAAGGTAACCTAAGCAGCACACAGCAAGGCTTATTTGTTTTAAAAGGTTGGAGAGATGGCTTCAGTGGTTGAGAGTTGGTATTGGTACTGTTCTTTCAGCTGTCCTGAGTTCAGTTCCCAGCACCCACATCGGGTAACTCACAACTGCAGCTCCACGGGGATCAGATGCCCCATCCTCCAAGGGCATCCGAATTGCATATGCATAGCTACACATAATTTAAAATAAATAAAAACAAAAAACAAAAACAGTTGGATATGGTGGCCCACGCCTTTAATCCCAATATTTGGGAGGCAGAAGCAAGTAGATCTCTGAGTCTGAGGCTAGCTTGGTCTACAGAGTTCCAAGACAGCCAGGACTACACAGAAAAACCTGTATTGAAAAAAAACCAAAACAAACAAAAACCAAAAATAACAAACAACAAAAAAATCAAAAGCACAAAAAACCCAAAACAAGTGGAACAAAATAGAAAATGTTGCATATGATAAATTTAACCTAAATAACATTATTAATTGTGTCTTTTTTTTTTTTTTTTTTTCCTAGACAGGGTTTGTCTCTATAATAGCTCTGGCTGTCCTGGAGCTCACTTTTTAGATCAGGCTGGTCTTGAGCTCAGGGATCCACCTGCCTCTGCCTCCCAAGTGCTGGGATTACAGATGAGCACCACCACCATCCAGCTAGTTCAGTTAAATGCAACTGAATTATTATGTCAGATTTTTAAAGTCAAATATGCTTTCAAGAGACAGACCTAAATCTGGATAGTTCCAAGTTAAATGTTGGGAGAAGCAGGTGATGGAAAGTACTTTTAGTGGTAGGGTTGACTTCTAACTACTCAATGGCTCTCTGAGCATGGGGATCGGAACATGCAATATTGGATTATTTGTTTTAATATGCATTGGTGTTTTGTTGGTTTGTTTCGTTTTTGTTTTTTGAGACAGGGTTTCTCTATAGCTTTGGAGCCTGTTCTGGAACATGTTTTGTAGATCAGGCTGGCCTTGAACTCACGGAGATCAGCCTGCCTCTGCCTCCTGAGTGCTGGGACTAAAGGCGTGTGCCACCACAGCCGGACTTTCTCATTGTTGGGAACTTTGAACCAGCCTGTCCACAGTTGCAAGGGGACCCTCCCGACACTCACAAGATGATTGAGCGTGAGGACCCTTTGATAGGAAGGCACTTCCTTGCCTTTCCAAGTTAAGCCGGGTTTGCTGGAGTGGTGAATACATTAGGGTATCTGGCCAATGAGATGTCTCTGGATAGAAACAATACAAATCATCAAACAAACCACACAGACCCTTAAAGGTTGCCAGAAGCCTACCAAGTTGGTTGTTGAGTCTCAAAGAAATAAAAGGGCTCGTTAATGCGGCAAATGTTCAGACTAATAACTTTAAAGTCACATTTCTTTGCACAAGTTAATATAAAGGCGCCTAACTCTTCACCGTACCCCAGGCAGCTATCACTCCCACCTGGCCCACTTTTGCCCAGGCTGGAAAGCTTCCGAGAGGCTCCTCAATGCCATCACCTGTCTGAGTTCCGAGGATGGATTGCCTCTAGGCCCGACACCCCATAGCCTCTCAGTGATTCTAGGACACGCGTTAAGGGCCCTACACCGCTGTCACTCACCATTGCAGGTGAAAAGTGTGGCCACAGTGGATGGCAGCCACGTCGCGGGAGTGATCGAAGAAGTCGGAGCAGATAGTGCACAGAGCACGGATAGGCATAGTGGCGCGACTCAAGCGGCCAGGACAGCCCGGGAAACTGCAACAGATCCAGTGGTAGCTGCAGCTCCGCGACTCCACTTCCTTCAAATTGCGCTCCACCGCACGACTTCCGGCACTAAACCGGAAGTCATAACAAACCATGGCCGAGTACTTCACTCTGATTGGACAAACTTCGGGGCGGGGCGGGGCACTGGATCAGCGGGAATAAGCGGCCCGTGAGACGTGCGGAATCCTGGGACTCAGCACTGTAGCAGTTTTGGAATCGCCTAGGAGTGGACTTCCATTTCTATCAGTAGTGCCCTATGGCAGGAAACAGTAACGCTACAGGCGGACCCCTATCCCTGCTAAACTGACTATTGTGTCAAACTGGAGCTGGTGCGAAACGAACCAGACCTCTTCTTGCTGCACTTTGGGACAATCATACCGACTGACATCCCAAGGAAAAAGGGATAATGGTCCCACAGCTATGGAAAGGGATAGACTGACTGTATGCTGGCAGCCCACAGTTCCCAGACCTAAAGAAGACCCACACACACGCACTTTCTCAGCCTTCTATTATGGTCTTATGAACAATTAAGTCCCATTCCATCAAAACACCACGCTAGCCTTGGCTTTATTCGAATATGATCTAATAATCCTTGCAATTAGGTAGATACTAGCACCAGTAATTTAGCTCTTACCTCCCAGGATTCCTCGTGCTTGGGACTGTAGTATACTGATTTTGGAGGCACAGATGCTTCAAAGACCAGGAAATTACAAACCCCTCTTTATTATTCCCACATCAGATAATTTAAGGTTCTCCCTGAGAAGGCAACCCAGGTGAGTTCACCAAAGCCCGCCCGAGCTGAAGCAAGTCTCCTTAGGGATTTCTACGATATAGTTAGTATTACTCCCCCAGAAGAAACATACACAACTCCATACTGTAAAGCAGATCTGCTCCAGCTGGGGAAAAATAGTGAAATCTTTTTGGTCTAAGTGGAAAGCACACGTATTCACAGGAAGCAGGCATCAACATACAGCACAGAGCTTTTGTGCAATCCCACCCTCTCTCCAGCCCAAAGAGACCCACTGTGGACAAGAGCAAGGTCTCTCCCTATAGTGGTTGGCCCTGACTTGATTCCATCTCTCTATGTCCAAGTTAAGACAAAGGCTCCTTGATCAACAAAAGTTGGAAAACCATCAGTCCTTCAAGTGCTCAGCTCAGGGGGTAGTTCTTGGCCAAAGCACATCACTCACATGGTTTTCCAGAGTCCAGAGGATCCCCATCAACATCATCCAGGTACACAATGGAGGTGACCTTCACTCTCACCCCAAGCAATGCACTGAGCATCAGCCTCCCCCACTGCCTTCCAGGGGCTCCTCCCCAATAGGACAGAGGAAGCAAAGGCAAGAGGGTGGCCAGAGGCTTTACAGGGTGACGTTTATTTGCCAGGTTCAGCAGGCACACAGTTAGCCCACCAACCTTCACATACCAGAGCAGACCCACAGGCATGCAGGGAGAAGGGCAGGACCACCATGGAGTGCCGAGCTAGGGCAAGGACCAGTGTGGCCGCCTGTTCAGGCTGTGATGGGGTCGGGCAAAGGGCACCTGCCACCAGCATCCCTCCGGGGACTGGGGAATCTTATTCTACTTCCTCATCCCAGCAAGAGCAACTTAATGTGGCTGAGTGATACCTCAGCCTGTGATAGCAGAAACAGAGGAAATTCCTCTCCATGTTGCTGAACAAAGAGCAGAAAACCTGCCATTGTAAAAAGCAAACTCTCAAGCAGCCTATGAGGTACTGCCATGCCTCCCTGGGAGGAAGAGGATTTATGGCCTGAGCCTGAATGAGGTGGCCAAGGGTAAGATCTCTTCCTGTTGTAGGAACTATGGGGGACACCAGCCCTCCCTATCCAGCTCAGAATAAAGACCCGGATAGGTTGGGGGGCCTAGTGCTGGTCCTGTACTCTGTTCTCCTAGGTCTCACTGCTACATCCTAACTGTTTCTCTTTTTCTTTAGAGTTTCATGAGAATCACTACACAGAGCAACCCACTACAGGACTAGGGAGGGCAAGAAATAACACAAGGATCTTCAGAGGACCTACCCAGGGGGAAAGATGGAAGCTTCTACCCTTCTATCCATTCTCTCTCCCACTTCTGAGGATCCCCACAGCTAACGTGCAGTGCCCCCAACCATGTGACCAGACTCAACTTAAAGCACACTGCCCTAGATTTCTGCATCCTCTCTAGCAGCCAGTGTCTACTCCGAGAGCAGCCCACACACCACAGGCACACACCCTCGTGTGCAGGAGCCTGACACTACCGACAGGGCCTCGCTGGAGGACCAGCTCTCAGGGCAAGGCCACCCAATTTAGGGCCAGGGGAAGTATGAGACTTGCAGGGCCTGCCTGGGGAAATGATGAGGCAGGAAGGGAAGAAGGAGAGCAAGGACCCCCTGAGTATCCCTAGAGCAGCATCCCACAGGGAACAGAAACTGGTGAAGCTAGCGAAAGACAGAAAAGCCACGGGGAATCCATGCAGGGGCTGGGGCTGGCCCTGCCTCTGGCCTGCCCACCACTCACACACATCCACACAGGAGACGAGACTGCTCTCCCATGGCCCCCAGGCATGCCCCACTGGGATGAGGGAGCTTGGGGGGAGCTAGGGCATCATGCCAGTGACTCTATATACAATGAGAAGCCCCTCATCCACACTCCCACCCTCCTTCCCATCCCTCAAAACCCCCAGTGGGCTGCCCATTCAGCTCATCTTCACCCTCTGAGACTCCTGGGCACAGCCAGTAGCCTCTTCTCCTTTACTAGAGGGAGGAGCCTGGCCTGTGGCCCCCTCTAGGGCTGTGCTGTCCGGCTGGGCCACAGCCGGCTCAGGGGTGGCAGCTGCCTTTGCAGCTGGCCCGGCACTGCTTTGGGTGGCGGGCACTGTGCTCTCTTCTGTAGCTGGTGTGGCTCTCCCATCAGTGGCTGGGGTAGCACTCCTGTCAGTGGCTGGAGTGACGCTCCCATCTGTGGCTGGAGTGACGCTCCCATCTGTGGCTGGGGTGACGCTCCCATCTGTGGCTGGGGTGACGCTCCCATCTGTGGCTGGGGTAGCACTGCGATCTGTAGAGGCCGTGTTCTCACTCTTGGCAGCACACCCCGCACTGCCCTCTGTGGCTGCAGCAGTACCGCCTCCAGACGCTGAGGCGGCTCCACTTGCAGCTGCAGCAAAGGCCCCACCAGCAGCCCCGGGAGCAGCAGTGTCTGAAGCGGACTGGGCTGCGGCTGCGCCAGCCTGCTCTGGGGCCCGGAGCCGTTTCATGAGAGTGGTCACTCGGACAGCCTTCTGAAAGGAGGAGGACAGCGAAGAAAGGCTCACGGTGAGGTTTGCCGGATCCACTCCTTCAAAATGGCTAGCCCACCCCGTCCAGGGTACCCCAGCCGCCTCTGGCCACCCAGTCGCATATGATAGCCTGAGGAAAAATTTGTGTTCAGCTGAAGAGGTGCAGTGGCAGGCAAGGGACTGTGGGTGCCAGAAGCAGCACCTGGAACTGGGCCAAGAAGGAAGCGAGCCCAACCCTACCTTCCACTTGGCTCTGGCGAAGTTCTTTTCAATCTGGGCACAGACACCATCCTTGATGTTCTTATCAGATGCGGCATTACCAGAAATCCTAGAAAGGAGGCAAGTGCCTCTGACTGGGATGTTCCGTGCCTTCAAGGAGACTCCACAGCCCTTCCCTGTGTGATCTAGGACCACCAGGCAGAGCCCCTGGTTTGGTCAGAGGTCTAGAAAGTCCTCCTGACCCTCAGGACCTCAAGGACAAGGACTTGTGGTGTAAAAAGTTCAGAGGGCCACAGGAAGTTGGCCTCGCTTCCGTCCTCCACAGGGCCCTGCTCACCATTCGTGGGAGATGGCCTCTTCCGCAGTGATCCGCTGGTCTTGTTCCACCTCCATGAGCCTTGTGACCAGGTCTTTGGCTGGGGACAAAGCCAGGGATGGGCTAGGCATGGGCGCCCCATCTCATTGTCTAGATGTGATGAGTGGGCTGGGGAGCAGGAGTAGAATCCAGCAGAAGCTGAGAGCAGCGTCTCCCTCCCTACTGCCCGAGACTCTGCCCACATGCTGGGCATCTCCTCACCTGCCTGGGAAATATCATCCCAGTATGGAGAGTCAAACTCATAGTCACCAGCCAGGATCTTGCGGAAGAGATTCTTATCATGGTTCTCGTAGTCATCTTCTTCTACCTCCTCATAGAAGGGTGGGTTGCCTGAAAGGCTACATGGAGCAGGGTCACCTAGGATGGCCACAGACGCGAGCGTCCAGCCCGCCTGGCTGCAAGCCCAGTTGTGTGCCCTTTCACTCACAGGATGTACATGATGACACCAATGGCCCAGCAGTCCACAGGGCGTCCATACCGTTGTCGTCCCACCACTTCCGGTGCTAAAGAGAAAAGTGTCCATCAGTAGGTGTCAAGTTTAGCTAGATGTCATACCACCCATTACCCACTCTCTGGGACAGAGATTTCTCTCTACCCCAAAGTCTCTCCCCGAAGCCCGCCCCTCCGCCATCCCCTGTCACATCCCTCCTTACCCAGATACTCCGGGGTCCCACAGGGCTCCTTGATGAGGCCATTCTCTAGCTTAGCCAGGTGGAAGTCACTGATGACAATCTTTGAGTTCTTCAGCCTGTTGTAGTACACTAGGTTTTCCAGCTGCCCAGGAGAGAGGAGTAGAAGGGCGGGGCAGACGTTACCATGAGGGCCCCAGAAGCTGGACCAAGAGCCCAATTTGGCACTCACTCCAGCCTAGCCCAGCTGTCAAGCAATCCAGTCACCCTGGCTCTGGCCTTACCTTGAGGTTCCTGTGCACAATCTTGAGTGAGTGCAAGTAGGCCACAGCCTCCAAGACCTGCCGCACCACGTTGCTCGTGTCTCGCTCCGAGTAGTAGCCCTGGTCCAGGATCCAGTCAAACACCTCCCTCCCCGTGGCCCTGAGGGACACCAGCCCCTGAGCCCGGCGTGGGCAGGATCGGGGGGAGGACAGGAACATTTGGGAAGCCTGACTTGTAGCAGGCAGTTGGCTGGGCAGGGCCCAGGGCCTTAGGACCACAAGGGTTCCAAAAGTGGGTTTCCTTAGCTATAAAAGGGAAGGAAAGAAAAGGCCCTAGGGACTGGGAGACCCTGGAACCCCAGAATTGTACTCACAGCTCCAGGAAGATGAAGTATTCCTTGCGGGTCACAAACACATCTACCAGCTGCAGGATGTTAGGGTGCTTCACCCTAGTAGCAATGGGAGGAGAGGGTAGTCAGGGCTGGGTGAACTCAGAGAAGCTCTGGAGGTTCTAACAGGCTAACTGGTATGTCCTGAGACCCCCTGCCCTTGAAGCCCTTCCCTGCCATCTTCTAACCCACGCTTCCCTCAGTGCTCACACTCACATCTTGAGGATGCCAATCTCATTCTTAGCCGCCTTCCGCACCTTGCGGCCATCCCGCTTCTGGAACTTCTTGCAGGTATGCAGCTTGCCTGTTGTCTTGTCCTTGGCCCGGAAGATTTCACAGAACTCCTCCCTGAAGCCAGCAGGCACTCTGCTCAGCCTAGGCCTTGGAACAGGAGCACTCCACTCCCCTTCCCCAGCTCTGGCCTATCCACCCGTCATTGCCCAATATGCCCAACACTCACGTCTTGATGACCTGTCCCAAATCATATCTGTCAGTCACCTCCGATGGCTGGTTATAGTTCTTCTTGTCACCCAGAGTCACACACCCAAACGGCATTGCTAGGCTCTAAGATGCAAGCAGAATGGGGTCTGGCTCAGCTGTACTGTTTTCTAAGCCCCACCCCACCCCCCAACAACATCGAATCTGCTTTTGGAAAACCCAAGCCCAACTCAGGTCAAGTGAAGGGCAAAGTAGGCAAACACAGACCTACTTTGCTTTTTCAAGCCATGCTGCAGCCACTCAGTCTGGCTGCCTGAACTATACAGCAGCTCCCACTAAGCAAAAATTTACTAACTTGACATACTAGGAAATAGTTTTTCATTATATACACTTGAAAAACTTACAGAACAATTTGTTTACTTATTTGGTTTTGATTTTTGAGACAGGGTTTCACTATATAGCCCTAGCTTCCCTGGATTCATTATGCAGATCAAGCTGGGATTATGTAAATCAAAGGGATTAAACCAACAATTTCTTTAGGGTCAACTAGATGGCTCACTAGGTAAGGGCATTTACCTCCAAACCTGAGTTTGATCCCTGGAACCCACATGAAGGAAAGAGAAAACCAACTTCCACAGATTGTCCTTTGACCTCCATGCACATATTATACTGTTCCCCCAAAATAAATAAATGTAATTTTAAACAAAACAAACAACAAACCCTACAACTTCTTTAAAGTCAGGTGTGATGACTCATATTTGTCATTTTTGCACTCAAGAAACTGATACAAGAGGGTTAGCATGAGTATGAGGCCAGCCTGGGCTATAGTGTGAAACCCTATTTCAAAAAAGAAATAAAGCCAGAAGTTGGTGGCACATGCCTTTATACCCAAAACATGGGAGGCAGAGGCAGGCAATCTCTGTGAGTTCAAGACCAGCCTGGTCTACAGAGTTCCAGGAGATCCAAAACTGTTACACAGAAAAATCCTTAAAAATAAATAAATAAAATATTTAATTTTCAGCTATTCCATGAACATAATCTAAGTTTATTCCAGCAATAATTTTTGTGGTTTTTTTGAGACAGGGTTTCTCTTGGCTTGGAACTTACTCTATGGATAAGGCTAGCCTTGACCTACCTCTGTCTTCTGAGTGCTGAGATTAAAGGTATGAGCAACCATCTTTGAAAGTTTATTTTTATTTTTTGATATTATAATTGTCATTTTCCCCTTCCCACCCTTCCCCCTTTCTGTAATCAAATTCATGACCTCGTTTTCTTTAGTTGTTGTGGCGTGTGTGTGTGTGTGTGTGTGTGTGTGTGTGTGTTCCTGATCATATACCCTGCTAGGATCTTATAGTGTGTGTTTTCAGGGCTGGCCATTTGATATTGGATAATCAACTGGCATGCTCTTCCCTGGGGAAGACTGTTTCTCCGGCTCTCAGCATCCTTAGTTGCCTGTAATTCTTTGTCTAGGGCTGAGGTCTCATGAGCTTTCCCCATAGTATTTATTTCTCTCTGATGATCTAGAGAGGCCAAATGTTGATGAAGCTATGGACAAAAAGAACAATGTTGGAAGAGGGCAATTCTCCTTTGAAAAAGCTGGGAGCCAGGTGTGGTGCACAACTGAAATCCTAGCACTTAAGAGGTAGAGCCATGGAGATCAAGGAGTTCAAGGAAGCCTCAGCTACTTGATGAATTAGTTCAAGGCCAGCACAGGCTACAGGAGACTCTGGTGTAAAGATCAGGATAGGACAGGGCCAGTCTTGTCAAAGAGAAATATTCTATGTGCTTCTTTTATTATTTTTTATGATTATATATTTTTATGTGTATGGTTGTTTGGCCTTCATGTATGCTTATGTATATAACATGTGTGCCTAGTGCCTGTGAAGGCCAGGAGAGGGGGTTGGATCCCCTGGAGTTACAGACAGTTATGAGCTGTTATGTGGGTACTGGGAACTGAACTCAGGTCCTCTGGAAGAGCAGCCTGTGCTTTTAACCACTGTACAATTTCTCAAGCCCACTCTATGTACTTGAAATATTTGCTCCACTGAAAAGCATACATTTGGGCCAACTGTGCCCCAGGAGTTCCAGGCCAACCTGAGCTACATAGGGAGACCCTGTCAAAGAGAGGGCGGAAGGGAGAAAGGCAGACATACATTTATGCCTCCGGACACTTGTGTAAGAATGCTCATAATTGCTATATCCATAATTGCTAAAAGCTGGAAAGAGCCCAAATACCTAGCACCAGCAGGATGTATTATGGTACAGTCATATAATAGAATGTTATGCTGCAAAGGAAATGAAGGAGCTGTGGTTCTACTCAGCCAAATACTGTGTCTTACAAAAACAGTGTTGATAGAAACAGGGAAAAAATGCATGTAGCTTGAGTCTATTGACAGAGCTCAAAACAGGCAGAACTCACCACACTTCTGGGGATTCAAACATGGAAGTAACACTGTACAGAAAAGCAGAAAGTAAGTTCTAGGGGTCACACAGTGGTTCCTCCTAAGGAACAGGATAGGGTGACTGGGTGAGGGCACATGGGGGCCTTCTGGAAGACCTGTTTCTGAACCTGAATGAACTTTATATCTTGGTAAAAATGTACATGCAGGGATTTGGAGAGATGATTCAGTGTTAAGAGAGCTTGCTGCACAATTATGAGGACCAGAGTTTGAATCCCAGCACCTGCATGACAAGTCAGATATCTTGAACATGCCTGAAACCCCAGCTCCAAGGGTGGCAAAAGATGACTGCTGCAGCTTGCTACGTCTAGTCTAGCCAAAGGAATAGATGGACAGTGACAGAGAATACTTGATATTCTCCTTTTGGTTTCTGAGTATCCACAGGCGTGAGTGCTCACACACACATGTACATGCACAAACAAGCACACACACGTGCACACACAGACACGAAAGTGATTAAGTATTTATTTTTGGGGTTGGATGGGAGGGTATACTTTTCTAGGACATGAAATGGGAGTTCTCTTAGGGCAAAGAAGTGGATGTTGAAGGTGCAAATTTGTATCTTTTGTTTATTAGCTTTGGTTTGAGATAGGGTCTCATGTAGCTAAAGTAGGCTTTAAACTCACTATATAGCTGAGACTAGCCTTGGACTCCTACTCTTCCTGTCCCTACTCCCAAGTGCTGGTGTTACAGGCATGGGCCACCATGCTCTGATGTTATTAATTTTCCTTTAGAATTTTTGTTATGATGACTTTGATGGATTTAGTAAATACTGAGTTCAGACATGTTGTTTGGGGTATATCTAGAGGGAGGAGTTCTACATAGAGGAGAAGCAGCATTAGGGTTAGGCCTGGGAACAGAATACTTTGCCAGGAAGCATGCAGGGGTGACAGTCCGGAAGGGCAAGACAAGCCTGCCTAGCGCTAAACTACTGCAGGAGCACACAGGGGACCAGGTGTGAGGTTCGGTCCAGTTATTGCTGGCTCAGTAGGCTCCAGGAACTCTGCACCTGGAGCACAGTGCTCTCTACTGTCAGTTACAGTTCAATCCTAAATTGCAGTACAGGATGGCTGGCCCCAGCATCCAGAGGAAAAGCACCTGCTGCCCTTGTTTGGAGGTAGATGGCTATGTGTGCCTTTATAGATCTAACCCCAGAGTCTGTTTTCATAAAGTCTGTTTAGTGCCAGCCTGTGGCTACACCAGGCTGTACACTGAGGCCTTACTGAAACTGCTCTGCCTCTCTGCCTCCACAAATTGCTTGACTCAGAAGGGCCTGGACATCTAAATATTCCCCTATCTGAAGTCACTTACAGTGTCAGTATCCCTTGGCAAGGAGGACTCTGCCAGCTGGGGCCACATGTCAGGCTCCAGACAAGCCCTATGGGCAATGCTTTCTGTCAGTCACTTGCTTCCAGGCAGAGCCCATCTACACAATTCCCAGGGGTCACACCCTCCTTGGAAGTCCTCCCTCAAATGTGTCCTCAACATCAGGGATCAAATTCCATAACTTCTTCATCAGCATTGCTTGAGCTTGGGGAATACAAGTGCATTTCATCAGTGGGAATCTTGCCGCAGCTCAAGCCATGTAGTGAAATTCCACAGAGGCAAAAGAGACCTGCTTTGAAGATGTCAGCTGTGTGCCTTTGCCACTATGTCCAAAGCCCTGCCCCTGTACCTGCTAGGAAAATATGCCTGGTTGAAATTTCATTCTTGCAGTTGGGAGCAGGGGCTCAGCTACCACCACACCAGCCACCCATCTCCACCCTGTGACATCTGGAGGAAGAGGCCTGCTTTAGTCCTCATGTATGCTAACGGCATTTTTTTTTTTTTTTTTTTTTTGAGGGGGAGTGATTACCCTGCCAGGCTGGAATCTAAGGACCATTCCCCAGACAGGAGGATGACACTTTGGCTTGCAGATCTCCCAGAAGGACTGGGCAGGGACCATTCCTAATTCTGTTGCTTTGTTATACTGTTCCTTCTGATACAAATACTCTTCCCCCAAAGATTCCCATGGGAATCCCATTTGTCACTGCAGAGTTATTTATAACACTAAAAAGGAATCAGCAACCACCTAAATGTCCAACAACAGGTGATTTGCCAACTCAAGTGTGTCTACTCAACGGCAGGAAGTGTAGGCATTGGTTAGAGTGCTACCCACCTTGGCCGCCCTGTGGAACAGCCTCCACATGGGCATGAAACCAAGACCAGAGCTGAATGTTCTTTCAGTACAAATCCTACCATTATAAGGCTGTCTCTATAACAAGTTGTCTAAAACAATCCTGATGCCCCAAGGCTCAATGGAAAATGGCCCTTTTGAGAGATACCTTTTCCAAGCTCCACCTCCTCCCCATTCCAACAGCTCTTGCCTCTGCCAATGTGGTGTGTAGGTGGGAGGTTTTGTGTATGCCTGTCCCTGATCCTGGTGCCAGCTTTTGGCTATGCATATGCATTCATGTCCACGTGGGCCCAGGCTGGTCTTGGGGTCTGTCTCTACCATGGAAAGCGCACGGTGCTATCAACCCACAGCCATGACCTACTGGTCTCAATGACAGGGCAGGGACAGATCTACTTCACCACCACTCTCCTCTTCCTTGGCTGCCCGGATGTCACCCAATTATTACCCCTCCCGATGTTCTAATTGAATGAGTTCACTCATACACCTAGATGAATGAATTCACTCATATACTTTCAAGAGGAAGGGAGAAGAAAGGGGAGCCATGTTTCCAATCAGTACCTTCACCTACCATCCCCATTTATTCCACCATCTGCTACTTGCTGCTGCTCCAGTGAGGCTGTAGGCTGTATATACCAAGCCCCTTGGTACCTCTCAGGAATAAGAGGGATTCGGGCCACAAAGCTGAAAGAGTAGGCTAGAGACAGGCTGAAGAAGGTGGAGGCCAAGCAGAACGAGAGTGACGTTTCTCATCCTCATGGCCCCAAATCAACAGACAACAAAGGAATGTTTTCTTTCCAACAGCACAGAACACAGAACCTGGTCGGGCCCACATTGGGGGCTTTCCTGTAGCCACTTTCCTGGAGACAGAGCTCCTTTCCCTCTCTGCAAAGGAAATAAACTGCATATACCTGGGGCCCAGAGGAGCATGAGGACAGCACAGAACACAGCACTACCACTGTCCTCTACACCAGCAGGCTCTGGAAATGTAAGGGCCCAGCCCTCCTGTGACTGACTGATTCTGGAGCTTGGCTACTGGGCTCAATGAATGATTCATGTCTCAGGCAACCCTGAGGAAGCCTTAGTCTATTTGGTGTCCTTGCGGTAAAGGGTCCCTAGGAGCTCTACTGGGTCTTTAGGCAAGTCTGAGACAGGAGAACACAACTGAAACAGAGCCCAAAAGGCCCTACATTAGGGTTCTCTCCACCGGAAACCAGGGGTCAGCCTGCGTCAGGTTTCGCCCTTGGCATCCATAAATGACGTTTCCGGCTGCCCTGGTCTCTGCCATTTGGGCTCTAGAGCTTGCAGTAAATCTAGAGAGGCCAGGAAGGGCCCAGGAGGCTTCCCGCTGACTCCTGACTGTAGGCAACACCTCCCAATTTAGTGGCAGCTGTGAACACCAGCCTGCAGGCACCCCTCTCCCCTTCCCTCCCTCCCTTCCTTTCCTCTCTCAGCGATTGGAACTCAGTTTCCTATTGCAAACAGACTTGCTCCAGCCCACTTCCTTCCAGCGTATATGGTATCAAGAGACAGGTCAAGCTTCAAGCCCACTGTCCAAGTGCCTTGAGAGATTGGATAGAACCCAGTCCCGGGGAAAAAACAAGTTGAGCCACCATCAATAGTTCCTGGGGCCGACACTTTCTACCTGTGTGAGGAGTCCAGAAAAGCCCCTGCCCACCCATGCCCCACCCCCCACCCCCAAGCCTTGGTGAGCATGTAGCCCACTGCTATTTCCAGAACAGTCAGCTCTCGACATACAGGCAAAGCCAAGAACCAACTGTCACTGGTCTTAGAAGCTGGGGTCCCAATCTTTGAAGCCACTGGAGGCCCTGCATCTCTTCGGTTGGAAGAGGGGATCTGCAGAGGAAGGCACTGGAGTAAAAGGTTGCTATGGTGATGGAAGTTTAAAACACGGGGAGGAGAAAGAGGTAGGTATTAGTGAGGGACCCTCTTCCTAAACTGACATCTTGGCCTGGCCCCTTCCCTGTGAGTTCTGTGACCCTGGTCTCCATAAACAAGGGAAGGTAGGGGAACTGAAAGACTCTGGTAAGGAAAGAGGCAGAGAGACAAAGGAAGGAGGAAAAGGAGGTGGCAGAGTAAAAGGGACACAGACGCAAGAGAGAAGAGAAGCGGGCAGAAGGTTCTGAGGAGGACTCAGAACGCCCAGCAGCAGCCTACAACCTCCATGGCCATGTGTTCTGATCCCCGGGCCAGAAGCTACCCTTGGCATTTGGCTTTCAAGATTCTTCAGTATCCCCCAGACATACGCTGAACTTGGTGTGGGAGGCACAGGAAAAAGAGGTCAGCTTCTAGGAGCCTCTTGGTGGGGAAGAGGCCAGCTGTTGCAGTCCCCTAGCAGGACAGTTTCCCAGCCTCTCTCCCTGTCATTAGAGCAGCTTAGGTAAGAGGTCCAAAAGTTGAAGTTACAAGCATAGGGATATAGAAATGAAGTCCAGAAATCTGGCTATTCCCTTTAAAAGCCTTCCTCTCGGCTGGCCTAGCTTTTACCCACGGTCCCCAGCAATCTCTACCCCAATCAGCTAACTCTTGGGTCCCTGGGGCCCTTCTTGCGGTTCAGCTTCGTCCTGGACAAATCTTCTCAGGAGGGCCAAAAGCAGCACCAGAAACAGCACCACAAGCAAGCCATAAACAGGATGATGACAGGCACACACCAATACTCCCCATGCCTCAGTTTCCCTGAACATCGACCATAGATTCTGTGGACTGCCACCAGCCTGCTAACTGATGGCCCCCAGGGAATGGAGACAGAGGAAGGTCTGTAGCAGATATCTATAAAGTCAGGGTAGGGCACCTGGGGAATACGCACTAAATGAGGGAAGAAAGGGGGACCCCTGTCCCATCCTGGCTCTCAGGGAATGGAGGTAACTAATGTCCAAGCTGAGGGAACTGAGGCCCAGAAGTCACTGGATCTGCTAGGTGTCAACTCAAAGGGGGGAGGGGAAGCCTGCATAGGTCTGCAATGGTGGTCCTGGGGGCCACAAAGCCTAAGTCTGGTTTGGGGGTGGGGTGTGTGCAAAAGATCTAGAGTAGTACAGACTAGATAGGAGCCTTTGGTGACAAGAAGGAGCCCTGTTCTCTAGGAAGGTACCTGCTAGAGCAGGTTTGGGTTGGGGAGCAGTTGTGGGGCTGGGGCTCAAGTGCCCAGGGTCTCCTGCCAGGCAATACAAGCTGAAGAAGAGGGAAGCTGCTGTTTTAATTGTCCCCTGCTACCCCAGCCAGGGTCCCTGCTCTTCACCATGGTACCACCCTGACCCCCTTCCCCAGTGCTGCTGGCTCGCCCCCGCTGGCACAGGAACACACATGCGGGAGGCACACGTGTGAGCACCAAGCCCCGCACCTCCCAGCAGGAACATGTGCGCCCCGCACCCCCACCTCGCACGTGTGTCCGTGCACTCCCCCACACACAAATGACCCTCAAGATAAGGCTCGGAAGCCTGAACTTGGCTGGGGCCAACGGTCCACTAGGGTTTAGAACCCCCCCCCCAGCCCCGCAGCAGCCCCGCCCAGCCCCCTCCGGATTGTCGCCCATAAAGAACTCTCCGTTGTCATGGAAATTAGTGACTGCCAAACCGGAGGGAGGGGGCCCCCAGGGGCAGTTGGGAGGGGCTGGAGATCGCTCTGGGAGCGAGGATGGACTGCTCGGCCCTTGAACCTTACCCCTATAAGAGGAACCACAAATCTTCGAGGGTTTATGTTTTTTACAATTCGGAGCCACAGAGGATTTTCCTGGGACCCTCCCAAGCCATCCGAGGTAATGGGGAACTTTAGCCCAACCCTGCATGCCACCCCACCTCGCATCTGCAGAAACCTCGCGCTGTGCCCCTGCTGGGACCCCCAGAGTCCTCGCGGCGATTGCGCGCATCCTGCGCGGGGATTCTCTAACCACGGAAACAATCTCCCATGACCCCCACACACACAACGTGCATCGAGGAGGCGCCCTCCCCACCGGCCCAGCTTTCTCTGCTCCGCACCTGCAACGCTGGTCGGTCACAGGGAGGAAGCGACAACCGGCTCAGCAGGACTCCGGGGGCGGCCGGCAGAATCCGCTCCGGGCACGCGGGGCAGACGCGGCGCCAGCTGCAGCCGCTTCGACTCCAGAACCTCCAGCATCGCCAGTCGCTCTCTGGCAGCGGATTTGCACCCCGGGCCGGGGGCGGGCTGGGGGCGGGGCCTCCTCGCCCGGCCCGCCCCCACCCTGGTAGACCCAGAGACTGGAATCCCACTTAAGGGAGGGCGTTTGCAGGTTGGCAGTGGAGCTGGTGACCACTTGCTAGCTCCCTTAGGTCATCGGACTCTAAACCCAGCAACAGGAGGCGAAGGGGGCCTTCCCAGTCCCAAAGTGGGGAGTATTGGGGGGAATTGGAGAAAAGCCCGAGTCCTAGAGCTGCACAGAAGTCTCCTGACTAGAAGTAGTCTCCAGGAGACCACGGTCATGTCCAGTTTCCCAAACCTGATCCAAAGGGCTGGACCTACTTGGAACCACTTGGGCAGTCCCTAGAGCACCTCCTAGCTAGGAATAATGTGTGGTCAATTTGGGGATGGACAAGATACCACAGTGAGGACTTAAGACATCCTACCACCAACTCCTGAAAGGCCAAAGCCTTTCCCAACTAAATTCCCAGCCAGGTTGGCTGACTCAGTCAGCACCCTCTGTATGGCTCTGAATCTTCCAAACTATTAAAAGTCACCTATGATGTAGTGTGGGGTCTGCTTTCTTCTCTTGGTAATGATCCTTAAACACATCCTAAGAAGCAGGACCCAGGTGATCTGGGCTAGGATATGGGGTCATGGAACTACTAGAAAGGAGTTTTGAATGAAGACCTTCTCTCCTTTATCAAGGAGGCAATGGACCCAAGGCCCACCCCACTGTCTTCAAGTCCTGAGGACTACCCTGAGACAATAAATAAAGGCCAGATTAAGGTTTTTCATTGTCTGGATCTGGGCTCCATCCCCTCTTACCCTTCTAGTAAGTTGCCTGGCCCAATCATTGTGGGAACAGGGTCACATGTTGATTGCAGCTCCTCATAGCTGTTGACAGAAGGGACTAACCAAGTGAAGCTGGGGCTGAAGCCAGGAGATTGCCAGAGAGATGATTGTCCTAAGGCTTCTGGACAACTTTTTCCAGAGGGGCTGTGGAGCCCGTCAGATTGTGTGTGTGTGTGTTTGTTTTTGGTTTGTTTGTTTTGAGATGGTGTTTCTCTGTGTAGCCCTAGCTGTCCTGGAACTTGCTTTGTAGACCAGGTTGGCCTCGAACTCACAGAGATCCACCTGCTTCTGCCTCTCTAGTTCTGGGATTAGAGGCACGTGTCACTACTGGCCAGTTTGAGCCCTTCATATCTGTCCCTGCCTTTGGTCACCTCCTCCAGGCCATGTTGTCATTGTATCTGGGCTCCTTGCGTATTGAAAAGTCTTGGACATAACGCCTGCCCCAGTACCGGGTAGGAATCTTTTGACAAACTAAGCAAAGCCTATCTCTAATCTCACAATGTTCGACTAACATTTGCATAATGAATGAAAGACCTGGCACGGAATTCTATCATTCCCAAAACAGTGGGCCTCCGAGTTCATGGGATAGCCAAAACATGGCTTGCATAACCCACAGGTATCATACATGTTTTCCACCTTTCTTGAGGCTCATAATTTATTCAAGTATGGGGGCCAAGAAACTGCATTAGGACTTTAGAGTCAGGGGAAGGGGCGGTTCCCACTTTGCCTGCTGCTGGCAGTACTCCACCTCTTCTTGGTCCTGTGCACACTGAGTGCACGTGGGTGACAGCACGTGGCAGGGTATATGTGTACACGTGAATGAGTATGCTCTCTCATACCAAGAGAGATGGAAACAGCACAGTGTATGCAATGATGCCCAGGGGCACGTGTGTCGGTGTTCCCTGTGCACCCAGGCATGCTTGCTGGCACATGTGCATGGATGCAGCAACTAGTCCCTAGAGCTGTGGCTCCCCTTCCTGACTGACACAAAGCTTGGGATTGTGGCGGCTGCATCAAGCTGTAAGTGCAGGACAAAGGAAGGGGCTGGATCATGCCCAGGGCAGGCCAGGCCTGCGATGACTTTTTGCCACTGACTGCTTCCAACTCTACTCCCTTGCTTTCATGTGTGTGTGAGGATAGACAAGTTTTTGTCATTTGTGGAGGGTAACCCAAGGAAGGCTTGCCCCTCAGCTTCTCAGGGAGACACAGACAAGGTAAGATCAGTTTCAAGGTTTAGGCTTCAGAGAGCCTCCAGATGCCCTCTGGACAAAGAACAGTTAAAACCTGTCACTAAAGCACTTGCTATGTAAGCCTGAGGACCTGAATTCCAGCCATGAAACCCATGTTTAGGACAATGACAAAAACATGTGGTGGTGGCTCTAGCCTTTAATCCCAGCACTCAGGAGGGAGAGGCAGGTGGATTTCTGAGTTCTAGGCCAGACTGGACTACAGAGCAAGTTCCAAACAGCCAGGACTGTTAGAGAAACCCTGTCTCCCCCCCCACCAAAAAAAAAAAAAAAAAAAAAAAAAAACCAGGCATGGTGATGAGTATTTGTAATCCCCAGTGCTGGGGAGGCAGAGCCAGAAAAATGAATATAGGGGTCTGCTGGCCAGTCAGTTAGCCTATTAAGTGAGGTCCAGGCCAATGAGAGATCCTGTCTCAGAAATAAACTAGTAAATGTTGCCTGAGGAACAAACACAAGGTTGGCCTCTGACTTCCATATACATGCAAACACACACACACACACACAACACACACATACACACCACACACACACACACACACAGGGGTAATTAATTTTTTAAAAGACCAGCTTAATTTTAACCCTTTCAGCTCTTCCAGGCCATACACTGAGTCCACCCCAAACATCACTCTCATAGTCTCTGTTCAAAGCCAGGCTGAGTGAAGGGACATGGCTTCCAGCTATCCATTAGACACAGGGACAGCGAAAAGTCTCAACCCAAGCCAGACAGTGGTGATGCACACTCTTAATCCCAGCACTCAGCAGATCTTTGTGAGTTTGAGGCCAGCCTAGTCTACAGAGTGAGTTCCAGGACAGTCAGGGCTGTTTACACAGAGAAACCCTTGAAAAAAACAAAAAACAAAAAAACCTATCTCTCAAAACAAACAAACAAACAAACAAAAAAGTCTTTTGGCATTACCAGTGGCCTTTATAAGAGCCCTCCTAAGGAGAACTCTGGTCACTGAGCATCCAGGAGCTACCCAGGTTGAAGGAAGGCGGGTCTAGGAAGGAGAAGCAAGCCCAGAGTTTATAGTTCTGGCTCCCAAAAGCTATAGGGTCAGAGAGCCAAAATAAGAGGCAGGATTAGGTGTGAACTTGAATATGCAAAGAGCCTACAGAGCAGGCTATAGCTCAGTACCCTAGCTCTAGTATGCTTTCCATCTGGGCTCTAGCACTAAACTCTACTTCCTACCCTGGGTACCAAAGGCAGTATTCCCATGTTCTCTTATATTGAAGCCCCTGATAACCCAGCTAGAACACCCTCCCAACGTTTAGCGTCTAAGAGGTACTTGTATTATTTACGAGATTCTTCCCCAAGAAGCACAGACTCTGATAGACACCCTCCCTTATGGGCAATGAATGCTCCATACCCGAAGCCATCTTTGGGATTGCTCAGCTGCTGTCCATGTTGCTGGCCTCAGCACCCAGAAAGAAGGCCCAAGGAGGGAGCTGGAAGCAATCCCTCCTACGGGAGCTAGGGGAAGGGGCTGCCCCCATCCCCCACCTCATGACTCACTCTAGGCTGTGTGGGTTATTACATTATGTTTGAAATTACCATGGCAACAAGCTGGCAATCAAAGGTAATTGCACTTGTCGTCAGGGCAACAGGGCAAAACCCCACAGCAGCCATTTTCTGTGGTTGCCCTTGGGGTGCAGTAAAGGTCAAGCCAGATGAGAGGTAATGATGGCCAAGGAGCTTTGGGACTCTCTGGAAAGGGCAGGTTGCCAGGGCTCATGAGGTTCATGAGTGTTGAGGTTAGGTATGCCTTGGGATAAACCAGGACCCCCCTCTCGGGCCCCATGTCTAGAGTCTTGCCTTCCCCATATCACGCTCCATCTAAAACATGCAACAGTACTTAAAGCAAGCAGAGTCAGAAGTTTATGTGTTCAGAGCTGGTACTTGTAGATAGCCCATGGGCCCTCCTCTTCGTATTCCCTACGGCTGAGCCACAGGCTTCGGAAGGAGTCCCGACATGCCATGATGGAACCCCCAAGCCAGGAAGCAACTGCACGGTGTGGAGAACCCAGCACCATGGCACTAGGGCCCAGCTCCTGTCTCAGGCGCTCAGGGAAACCATTGACCAGGGTGCTACCACCTTCCAGCACCACGTTGGCCAGCAGCTGCTCCTGCTGCTTGGCCTCTAGACGACTGATACTTAGCAGGGCCAGCTGTGGGAGGCCTGGCTGGTTGATACCTAGCAAATTTGGTTGAAAGAGAGCCTCAGGGCAACAAAAGCGCTCAGAGCCCAGTGTGATAACTTGCTTATCTGGGAGTACAAAGTCCACCTGGCCCTGGGACTGATTTCTGGCCATTTCAGCTGCCATATCCATAGCCACATAGCAGCAGGCCTCTTTAATCTGTCTGACAAGCTCTGCCTTGGGTGCCGAGTGGCCAGCTGCCAGGAGCAGCTGGGCCATGTAGTCAGTAAGATCGGCACCAGCTACATCCAGCCGGTAGGTGTTAAGAGGAGCCAGGTCCCCAGTGAGGATAGGTGCCACATAGGAAGTCCCATGGCCGCTTCCCACCACCAGCCCAGTGGTACGCCCATAAGCGTAGAGTGTCAGGAGAGCCTGGTGAACTGTCTGCATAGCTGGCACACGGAAGCGCTCAAAGAGTATTTCGGCCACCTTTTCTCTGTTGGTACGTGGTGAGATAGGGGAGTCAGCCACAAGCACAGCCATCTCCTCAGGCTGCACTCGAAGCTTGCAGTAGAACAAGTGTTGCCACAGCACCTCTAGAGCATCCCAGTCAGAGACTACTCCTCGGTTCAGTACTGAGTAGGAGCCCTCTTGGTGTTCAGGGACCACATACTGGGGCTGGCCCTGGGCTGGATGCTGCATCATCTGGACTTGTGAGGGCACCACATTGAGAACATGGTCCTCTC